ATCAATTAGATCATTGTTTAGATCCTTTATCAACTCCCGTACCATATATCATAGATTGAATCACACGTTTATCATGTTCTCCGAGGAGCGGAAAAGTGATAAGTTATAAAGAATAGAGGCCAATTAACATACAAAGCGGAAAAAGAGAAATGACGATTACTTAAGACTCATTGGTTCTTCTGCATCTTTTTTAACAATTCCTCATTTTTAAGAACCACGTATCAAAACAAAATCACTTCAAAATTCAAATTCCTTATTATTATTTATTCATAGTACCTCTCATAGTCCAAGTCAGTCTCATAGTAAAGTATGTATTTAGCGGATCCGCAAACCAATAGACAGTTAAACTCAAAATTCTTAAAATCAAAAAACATAACCGGTGATTATTACCCACTCTTATTTCAACATCGATAGCTAAATCGTCGGAATCACGATTTAATCACATTTCCATTTTATCTATCGATGGATCGGCGTTGGATTGTTTTTTTCGGGGGAATGTTTTTATTATTTAAATGGTTTCTCCCTGCCTCCCAGCGGCACAGTTTGATTAGGTACCCAGTAACCAGTGTAGGTACCGCCGTACCGGGCTGATACATCTGAGGACCTTGAGGAGATTGATCCGTAATTAGTTTACTGATCCGAATGCTAATTGAGTGGACAATAGCTATAATTTACTGTGATCTATTTGGTGGTTCTATCTGGTGAATTCCAGGTGGAATCAATGGAACTCCAAAAATAAAATCTAAAAAAAAGATAGTCCTGAGTCAAGGGAAAAGATCTAATATTTTCTTTTAATTGAATATACTCTGAAGCTACTGAAATAATTTGAAAAATTATTTCCCTTTTGGAAAACTTACTCTTCTTGGAGTATCATAGGCTTTATTTTTATCCTGATATTTCCGCAGGATGGGGGCCAAATTTTAATCTTTTAAATTAAACGCGAGGGACACCACAGAAGGGAAGCTAGGGTGAAATACTTATTCTAAATATGTACGCAAATAGGTATCATATAGGTTAAATGTTTTAAAATCGACTTAACAATCGTGAAGTTAGAGCTTTCTCGTGTGTCCATAAATTCACTAGTTTCTCGAACATCAGTGAAACAAAGTATATTGTTTGACTGTGTTATATAGCACTCCAATAGACGAATTACTTCACCGAAAAAATACAATATCTCTCTTTTATACTTAAGAAAGTATTTTATAGTATGTTAAACATTAATGATTCGTCTCGATTCGATGTTTTTATAAAATTCGGTACAGCCCGTTAGGTGAAGTCAATAGACTTATACACATATACCTCTAAATACATATACTTGTATATTATTTACATGAAACAACTATCACTCAAATTATAATCATATCTTGACTTCATAATATTTTGACAATCTCATTCTGTAGGTGTTCTCTTTTCCTTATTTTTATAGTTACATATTATTTCCTTCTATACTTCGACGCGATATTTTAGATCAATAACATTGCTTGTTGATACCTACGATCGATCGACGTTTGAACTATCCTTATTATATTGACTGTATATACATACATAACTTGCCGCGGAGAACTTAACGGGTAACCGGGGCTACGGCGCGAAGTGCAGGAGTAGGAACGGGGTGGTTTTTTGTCAGTAAGACTAAGAGTCTGACATTCCCTCCCGCCTCACTTAGGCGGGAGAAGGGATTTGATGATTTTTCCCCCTTAAAACAATACATACATAACCTCACGTCTGTCTCCCATGGGGGTGAGCTGAGACTTTACGCTCATATAAAACTTGAACTTAACCCTGCTTAATGCTTAATTAATGCCTTAATCTTAAAAATTGACACCACATTCCAGTTTTCTCCAACTTAGTATTGATTTCCTTTTGAAATAACTCCAAGCAAATATCCGCACTATGTTTACTTATTTATTTTCTATAACAAAAAGGATCGCGATACATAAATATAACTTTTCAGTGAGTGTCCACGAAAGCGATCGGCATCTTCTATTAAAACCTTCGTCAACTCCGCGCATAGCAAAAGCGTCATCTCTTTCATGCGATGGGAGTACATTTGTACCTGTTCTAACGATACTAAAAGCTATTTTTTGTTCGTCTTTGTCGACAAACTTTAGGACGGTCTGGCTGTAATTCCGTATTAACTTTTATAAAAAGTTTAGATTTACGATGTAGTTTTGTGTGGTATTCAATAAGAACCTTGTTTTAACAGACTGTTAGTGAATATTACGTAATTACAGTTAATTGACTATCAGTGGCATTGCAGATAGAAACTCAGAGATCCGGTACTTGACAAGACGGTGTTAGTTTCTCAATACAAGTCGTGTAGCGCACATACATAAACCGTACATTACATAGATGAAGCTGGATAAGGACACGATCGCCTGCAGTGTGCGCAGCGCGCTGGGATTTCATCCGAACGTAGCCCCCAATCACCACCGTAAATAATAATATATTATTCACCAAGACCATACTATACAAACCTAAAACTTATACCTAATAACGGACTTTTGCAGCGCTTTCTCAATATTCAATTCCGTGTTTAAACAAAGAAATTGGATTGTACGAAACGATTATACTCGTGCAGCAAAATCTTGCAATTTGAATTATTGATGAGGTTATGACGTAACTTATTAGCTGTGCCAATTTATAGAAGCAAAGGTTTCAAGGAAACTCAGCATGTGCATTAAAAATGATTAAAGGTAAGAAAATGTGTTAGAAAATGATTAAAGGATTTTGTTTGATTCAATTGTTAATTATAATGATACATCATTCATTTCATGCCAATTTTTTAGTCCAATAACAAAACACAATTTTATTTCTGGTTAAAATATATGTTAAGTAAACTAATTTTGTCTGTAAGTATTGCACTAATGTGAACAGAATAAAAATCCATTGGAGTGCTTATACTGGAGCCAAGAGAAACAGATGTCGTGCCAATTTCAACTTTTGAAGTTTTAGTTCCGAACTTTTGAATAAAAGAATAAGAATTATTTGTACTAGTTGTGTAAATGTAAAATAATTATTTATAACATTATGTATATATGTATTAGTGACCAACACAATATAGTAGATAACTATTCATCTCTAATGTATTCTGTGAATTTAATAGATGCATCATATTATGTTACATAACGTATGCACATAGGTAATAGAGATATCCATCACCAGAGATACATTGAGGTCTTGTGCAAACTGTATTTGTTATCATAATATTGTGATGCCGTTCCAGCAGCATTTAATTGAATAGATAAAACAAGAGAGCATGTAGCGAGCTACTGAACTGGCGAGCACCGACGTCTCCGTATCTTGTGTATCTGTCTGCCTAGATTTTCAACCGCACCTAATCTAGATAACAGAATTGAATTTTAATTCAATTTCCCAACGAAATAATTGTGTTTAACAGTTCTGAGCAACTGTAACTCGCTCGTACTGAATTCATATTGTATCAGTGTGTTCGGATAACTAACCAGGCGGCAGATAGACATAATTGACTTGCATGAGACAGCTATTGTGATTTCACAAGATATCTATGTAGGTAATACTATTACTTCTGCTATCAGATACCCGATGTCTGGCAAACCGTTCAAATTTATCTGTAAGATTTAGACTTTGAGACGAATTTAGATAACTAGGTATCTTTATAAACACCAACAATGATAAGAAAGTCGAGATATGTCCTAGTAGACTTGCATAGTGTTTACATTTTTTGTGAAAGCATCGAGTGTTGAGAATTTGCCAACAAATATTGTTACTAAGAACGCAGTAGGTATACATGTAGAGAATTTTCAAATATAGAGCCGACGCGTGGTGAATGACCGATAAAGGTTCAACAGCTGCTGCTTGGACAGGGAATATTACCTTTAGCACGAGGTAGATTCATGGCATCGTCGTTAACGATGTGGGTAAAGCCCTTTCATTGACTCGGGTCGCTACCCGTCGCCTGACTTTTTACAACACGACCTCAGTTGTTTGCACTTAATTTTATATGTGCTTTCTACATACAATATTTTGTTTTCATTATCATAATACCCGAAGCTTCGGGGTATTCGGTATTCCAGTGAAAAAGAACTTAACCAGAAAGGTTTTGAAAGAAAAGGTTTTTAAAATTCATTTGTGTTCCCTTGAAAACTTTCCCTTTTGTACTTGACGTACTTGTTATGCTGTATTCAGATTTTGATTTCAACGCTATTTTAAATAACGTTCATTTATAAAATGTTAAAGTTCTCTATTACCTATGCCTGTAATTAAGGTTAGGTAAATGCATAATAATATGGTTGCAAGTTGTAATATTATTCGGGAACATTTTGGTGGTCGGTTGTTGGGACAAGCGCGTCGCGAGTACATTGCTCCATGTTGATAACTCTATTAATATCTATCTGGTGTCTCTAAATGTACTCCGCGGGCCAATCAGCAGCCATCGGGCCACACAATGCGCCCACTGTATCGACCACTGGAAAAATACTCGTTAATAAGAATTGCTGATACGAACTTATTTTGTTTTTATAAATTTTGCTTTGATATGAACAAAAATACTTCTTTGTGTTATTAGGACTTAATGAAATGTTGTCAAAGTCCGGAAAAGTACCAAATAATAACTACAAAACTCTAGAAATATATTCTTAAACAGTTTGATAAAATGATGAAACATTATGTAACAATTACTCTGATAGCAACATACAAAAGCCATAATTATTATAATTTCTGGGTAGATAACGACTTAGTTTAATTTTCTTTTGTCTTATCCCTACCCTAATTAGATGTTAGTGGAATTCAACCTTTGATCTCGATTAGCTCCGGCGAGTAAAGTAAATAATTAATGTGTTACGATTAACAAATAATAAAACAAAGATAATGGATAAGTCAGCTTTTTGATTAAGTATTCAGTTATGTTAATGTATTCTCCTAGTCAACTCCCGGCGATCGTTCAACATTCAGTCTTCATCGCGTCGTCAAATCGTGTGTTTAGTTTCTTCAAGATAAATTGTAAGACACGTGTTTTTTACCCGTAGCTATAGTTTTTTGGCCCAGTGTGTGGGCATCACGCCGTAGATACGAGCGTCGCGCGTGTGTTATATGATAGTGCTTGCTTGCGCGTCGCTTAACAATCATGTTTAACTAAATATTAAAAAATTAAATATCGGACATCGTTCCACGTTTCGTGAATTATAAATTTGTACTCAATAATTAAGTTGATTACTAGAATAAACAACTGCTAGCTACGTGAGTATTTTTAGTTATTATGTTCGTGTTTGTTTAGAATAACATCTGTGATAAAATTAAAATAATAACAACGAATTTATTGTGGCATGGAATTTTTAGTTTTTGAATTTAAATCCATTTTTTTTATTTATCTATGGTATTAGTTAAGACTAGTCAGATAAATGGAAATGAATAAAGTTGTTTACTCCGTATAAACGTTAATAACATACAATTTAATAACAACATAAAAATAACTTTGGTACACTATTAATAACAAAAGTACATGATGTCGGTATTAAAGGCTTCTGTTATTTTCCGAAGTAGTTATCAATCAGATAAGTGTATCGACTGGACCGATCTTGCTAATCGTTTTGGTAGAATTTATTAACATTGTACTCCCACATCTTCAAGGTCTCGGTCATGCCAACAGAAATAGACTCAAAGGTACCTTCCTACCTAGTAACCTTCGTTTCACACAAATAATAAATGTTTGTTTTTTAATCAGCATTCGTATAATATGGCAAAATATATGTACATCTGGTATCAATATAGCAGTTTATATACTGCTCTCGCCAAATTGTCATAGCATGTTATCGTGCAATTTAACTAATGGTAAATTGAATGATTGATACCGATTTGTTCTGTTACAATGTACCGTTTATCAATGTAATGTTTTACTCAGACTGTAGGTACATAAATTATGTCTGTCACTGTGTGTCTACTGATTCTTTGTATTGGGTACTCTCTTTGAGTATAGTTTGTGCTAAAACGGCAGTTTTTTATTGTAAGGTAAACTTTCTCTTTGAATGAGGGATCATTCAATGTATTTCATTTTTTATTTCAACTCGCTACTTAGCTAACAAAAAGAATTACTAGAACATTAATTTCCCTGTTACATTTCAGAGCAGTATTATAAGCCCGAGGTTCTCGTGGTCTATGCAAGTTATCAGGGCGCACAATAACTCATTTCGGCGCCCTTCGTGCTCAGGTGTATGTCGAGACGCTTAAAATATTGTTGTCACCGAAAACGATATTTCTTTAGCTGCAAAAATGTCTCAACCGCTTTTAGGAGGCTCCCCAAGTTTTTCTTGTAGTGATTTATGTTTAATTAGAGTGTCCTTCACATTTTTATGTCATTCGAAAATAATTTAAGAACTTCGCGACGAGGGCTTCGGGAAAGCTCGGCGTATAACTTTTAAAACAATTATGAGTTTGTCAAGGGGAGGTTACGATACGTAAATGCCTGTCGTTCCAGCGTTACTCGAAACAATGTCGATCAGACGTATTGCATTACTCAGTCGGTAAGTGTAGGTAGTTTAATTGTACGAGATAACCGAGTAGTACGAGATCAGAACGCGGTGACCTCCGCTTTCGTCTGAGAGTCACGTAACCACTGATAGGCAGCTCGAAGAGATTTATCATTAGCTACAAGTTGACTTAATCTTCTCAATATGTAATACTATTGTGAAGTTACCTAAAGCAATAGAACAAGATCCATTCTACTGGATTAATTAACAGGACTGTTGTTCTCGTCTTTAGTATAGTATCTAATCAAACTTTGGTTCTCTGACAATACTCAACATTGTATTTGACACTCGGTGGTTAGTAGATTTGTACTTTTTAGTTATCAATATTTTAGGACGGTAAATAATACCTACACACATGAGTATTTATGTAGGTATGGTTATTTTCCGATTTGTCGACATGTGAACCAGTAACAAATGATATGGGTATCAGTAATTCGGATTGTATAATAAATAACTTTGTACTAATTGTGTATACCTACATCGATATCGTGCATGTACCCGTTGTACTCTGGCTGGCTGTGTGACATTGAAATTAATCTTACTTTTTAATAAAAAAATACTATTTCTCTGCTTCTTTTTTGCGCAGTAGGTACAAGTTCAGTAAAAATTTTTCAACCATTTTTCGTTTATTCGTTAATAAAAGTGAGAGTTAGTAATCAAATAACCCTGCCATGATATATATCCTCGGCAGTCGTTTTAGCAACCATTAGACGAAAGGTCAGTCACTCATGTTAACTTGGATACTAAAAAAATACCTACAACGTCTAAGCTGTGGTCTCGCAGTTCACACAATCACGAATTGATATAAAAATAATGAGACAAAATGACAATGTTAGTTTCTCTCATAGCTACCGTGTATCTGAATGATATTTATTATTTCTCTCTGATAACAAGTCGCGACTTGTTCACATAAACACTCATTATTGATTGTACTGAGGTCTGTGACCATTTGATTTATTACAAACTGAAGCAATAACTGAACATATTATCGTTTTGTTAATTACTTGTGCCAATATAACATTAACTAATATCTATGGGTATTATTAAGGATAATCATTTCATAATGCATTTTTAATTGGATTTAAGTAGGTAGAACATAATTTGTTTGGCTTGTACCTAGTTACCGTCGTTTATACCGTGTAAAGACCATTTATTTCCTAATATACCTACGTATAAATTATAAATTATACATAGGTACGTATTCTTTTTCGGGCAAGTGAAAGAAATAATATACAAAAAGATCCACTTATTTATACCGCAAAATGCAAAGTAATAACTGTTATTTAGAGGTACATATCACTACATAGTATAAAACAAAGTCGCTATCCGCTGTCTGTCTGTCCCTATGTATACCTAGATTTTTGAAACCACGCAACGGATTTTGATGCGGTTTCTTCAATGGATAGAGTGATTTTTAAGGAAGGTTTATATGTATAAACATGCATATTGCACCCGGGGCGGGTCGCTAGTAGGTAACATATACTACAACTGAACACTATACATTATCAGACAAGTAATAAATGTATTATGTACTACATTATTTTAGATTAACAGCTAAGCATTCGGACAAGTATACACTCGGTATACACTTTGACTTAAAGTCAGAACTTTTAGTCAAAGTGTATACTGCCCCTAAAATATGTTTTAAAATAACTCTCCATAGAGACCACTTGCAAGTTTTTAAAATATAAAATTTCCTGCGTATCATAAATATGTTTACAGTTAAAATATACACATACAAGTATAGGTATGTATGTAAAAACAGACAGCACAGATTGTGAACATAAAACAAGTAACATGCAATATTTCTTTTTTTATTTTGTTTCAAGTTTTTCTGTTTTGCACTCTATTTTAACGCCGAGAGAAGCGGAAACATAATACATTTTATTCAAAGCTATATAACAACCAACACATTTTTTTATTTATACTCAAACGAATAACTCTATTAACGAAGTGCTATTATGACCTTTGCATGGAAAAACAAACAATATTAAATAAAATATCCAAGGAAGTTGAAAAAATCGAACATAATGTCACTAAGAAATTATTGAAGCACCAAAATGTCAGTGGTTTATTTATGTGTGCGTGTGTAATGTATAAATTAATAACTTACCACGTTACCAAGCTTAAGAAATTGTCAGATGTCCTTTGTGTCAATGTGTGTATGTTCTTTTTTTTTTTTGAAGGGGGAAAATCATCGAATGACTTCTCCCGTCTGGGTGAGGCGGGAGGGAGTGTCAGACACTTACTGACTAAAAACCACTCCGTCTCTACTCCTGCACTTCGAGCCAGAGCCCCTATAACCCGTTAAGTTCTCCGCGGCTCCGAATCGTGTCTATGTTCTGCGTGCAAATCTATAGTAACCAGGTGCCACAGTCGTTGTTACAGGACACTGTTCGACTATTTTCAACGTCTTTGGGAATATCTATGTATCTTAAATTTATTTATCTACATACGTAATATTCATGTTTGCTTACTAAGTATTGCTTTTAAACTGTCAACAAGCGGTCACCGGTGACCGCAACCTATTGTTCTATAATTGTGTCTACAAAACCGGTACTCGACGAGTTAATTCCTGCACCTCTAAACTGAAAAAAATAATTTCTACACATTTTTAGGTAGAAGTTAAAACATTTACCACGGCTTCAATTACATACTAGGCATATATAAAACAAAGATAGATATTATGTTAAAATCATGCCTTTTGTTCTAGAAGTAACAGGCAAACATAATAATGAAAGTGGACCTACTAGCATGCTATTTTAGAATAGCATTATTAGACTCGTATAAAAATAATGTCGAACACCAAAAACAATGGAACAGTTTTTTATGGGATAAGCCTGTAAACGAGCAGACGGATCACCTGATGTTAAGCAATCGGCGTCGCCACACAACACCACGGGGTTACAAGTGCGTTACCGGCCTTCTGGGGATTATGAATTTGAGGCTTATTGGGGATTCAGGGATTGAGGAGATTGGGGAAGGGGGGGGAGGCCTCCGATAACCTCACTCACACGACAAGACACAACGTAAATGATATTTCACGTCGGTTTTCTGTGAGGCCGTGGTATCATTTCGGTCGAACCGGCCCATTTAAGCTGAAGCATGACTCTCCCACACTTACTTATGTGGACTGTATTTTTTAAATACCATCTACTAGATTAATTAAAAATATTGCTCATGTGGACACTTTTTTCCTAGTTCGTATTGGAATAATAAACTTACGACGATTCATTAATTTAAAAAGGCACGGAGTTACTTGTGACTACGAAACGCAGCTCATGGGAGAAAAAGTACGTGGCTGATACTTTTTCACTATTTAACTGACGGACTAAATGGGTATTTCCTTTTCACCCTGTCGGCATCCCTATTCCGAACTCTACGCTATTACTGAGAATTGCAAAGTAAGAAAAACCAAAAATACTTTCAAGATTTCGTGATCTGCAGTAGTATTTGCGACCACTTGACCGTATGGTAGCGATTACATTTAATCGTTGAAGATTTTTGTTCAGACAAGAATTTTCTTTGACACGCGAAAGCTTTGTGTTGATTGGTAAATCGGTCATACCTTCAAAGTAATTGGTTTTTCTAACATTCGTCTATCATCCGATCTATGTATACTATAATACCATCAGTGATTCTTAATTAAATGGTCCGCCGAAATACAACAACAACGTTAAGCCTGAATTGTACCTAAATTATTTACTGGTATAATTTAAAACTGAGTATGAAAATATGATTCAGGTTATGAAAAAAGGTACAATAAAAAGAAGAAGAAGTAGGTTTAATGCAATCGACCTAACTCATGTGAGTGCACTTTAAAATGTAGATAAATACAGCTACACATAAATTCGCGCAATACTTACTTATCAGACGTGGTATGTAAGCCCTTATCAAATTCGAACAGCTTCAATTGATATGTCAATTCGGGCTTCCGTATACAACTCGAAACAGGGTAATTTTCACCGGTAGCAACGTACGTAATCCCAGTTTGAAGGATAGGTGCCGGTAATTACAGACACCTGCGACATTTCAGCTTGACGCACCTGTGATTACGTTGGTAATGCAGGTTTCCATGGTCGCCGTGACCCGTCATCTACAGATTACATGCAAGCTGGTTAGCCGTTGTATAATTAACATGATCATGACGGATTCTATTGTTTACCAGCATGGTTAAATAATGGGAGAGTGTTTCCTTAAATCTCGAAATGAATGCGAAAAGGGTTTAAGTTTTGCGGGAGGGTGAAATGGTAATGGAATGTGGATTTGCAAAATCCTCAATCGTAGGAAAGAATTTCGATTATGTTCGCCAAATATTACCTACTATCATTAACACTATCTATCTTAAAACTTAAGAAATCTATTAAAATGCGATGAAGCAGGTAAGGTTAAATTTAAAAATGAACGAAATCATCCCCTACAAACGTGTTTGTACATGTACCTATACATTAGCGAATACACGACCCTTCCCTCCGTTCCATATCGATACCCTAACGATATCGATTCTTACGTTTCGATTGTTACGATCATGAACACCTCGCGATATTTCTCACAGATCTTAACCCTTTGATTTGGACAAACAATGAAAGCTGTGATAACGAGCAATTAATATTTACGGCTACTATTAATTTTAGTGTCAAAATACTATTGTTTAGCATTGTGTTGGCATTTATCTATTTAATTATATAGTGGTGTAACTGCGTAGTAACGATGCAAAAAGAGGCGGTATATTCTATTATTATTATGGTTATTTACAGATGATATTAATTTATTTTATTTAAGTACCTATTTATTATTAAAAAAATGTCCTAGTTACATAATTGTCAATGTCACTAAAAGAAAACTGTTACTTCTTTCAGGTGTTTTTCATAAATAATCGAGATCTGTTTAATAATAGTCCATATTTAACGTCGATGCCAAGTCTTTTGATTAGACCTGTCATTGTATTCTAATGGTAACTTTCAATCATCAATCAAATTATTCCAAAGCGTAATGGTTATACTGTTAAATTAGGAGTTTAAAGAATTTGTTTAAAAAATGGAACAGTTATTTAGACGATCGTATCTTTTTATTAAAAACTTTTAAATACAGACTAATAATAATTTTACTGTGATACACAGAGCTTAATATTACACAAAGAAGTTTTGATGTCGTCTATGGTACCTACAGCAATTTGTACGGTTTGTATTAAAGGGCTGTGGTACATGCAGTCAGATGTTACTTATTGTACCCAGCCATTGCTGATATAAGCCATTAATAATCCCGCCCGTACACGGGGAAAATACGAGTTGCCTTGTTTGGAGCTAAAATCATGTTTTGAAACCAATCTTTACTTTTTGTAGGTAGTTATATATATGTATAACATTAATAAAATGATATTAGATGGAAGAAGTACGTATAAATACCATTAGGCAGGTTTTCGAGGTTTTGATCATCTAAAAGCATTTTTGGTAGCAATGTCATCGAAAATAAAATCGGTAAAGCATTTTTATAACTGTATACTGCAATATTATTATTACACATACATAAAACAACCTTCTATAAAGTGTATTAGAACTCTGCATATGTTGCTGAAATATATCCGAATGTAACCACTGTGCCCCGGCGTCTGTTGGGACCATAAACATAAACTTATACCTAACACATTTTATTAAGGACATTTGACAGTTTGATATTTATTTATAGCTCTAACTTTTATTTATTAACATGATATAAGTATCTGTATCTATGTATAACGTGTATACTGTATACAAGTGCTTACACGTTATCTTCACAGGTCATGCACGATGTGACTATAGCAATAAATGTCACAATTTCAATATGTCGTAAGACACGGTAATAAGACATTCAGATCGCCGAAGTACCTACAACAAACGAAGCATCCACAAAAATGAACTTCACATTTAGGTCGGAAAAAGTTAGACAAAATGTAAACAGAATAGTTGTTTTATTTGCTGGGAACTCTCGTAATCCAGATCAGTTTATCTGATTTGTTAAAAAGCTTCACAATTGTCGATTGTGGTGTGTCCCTCTGGATTATATTCATCAAAAGTTATATAACTTTAGATGTTGTATAACTTTGAAAGTTGTATAACGTTAGATGTAGGTTTAGAATACCAAACAAAACCTACCTACCTATTACATAATGTTCTACATGCCGTGAGTTTGTTAATGTGGTTTCTCGAAAACGAATTAATTAAACGATGCAGGAACAGAAGAAAGCGTGTTTACTTTGTTTCGTGGTAATTCCAGGAATCGTACGCTGTACAAAGAACGCAAGATTTCTGTATTGACCTATGTAAAACCAGATAACCAGATAACCGTTCTGTACACAAAAATAAAAGTTGAGTCTGAGGAAAGCACATGTTGTTCAATGAAATTAATACATTGGCGAGGTTCCCGAGGACTTGTCTCTAACTACCTCCATTAGCATTGGTCTAACATAGAGCTAGCCTGAGGCGGCACAGTTGCAGTAATGTCTCGATACTCTCAAATACGTTCCAATTCCGCTTAACATTTACTTCGACGGACACTATTGTAAACGGGCGAGCAGTGGTAGTAATCCATGTGATGACAATCGCACGAATTTCGTACGCAATCGAATGCACACAACACATTAAGTCTGAAACAGCTACCATGTGACAGCTACCACATTCACTCGCAATACTGATATAGCTATTTTACAAATACATATGCTATCTGGTTGCACGGTTCACTGGATGCCAGCAAGTTCCCGGCAAAGTGTACCGGACAGTCACTTTTTACTCGAAGAGTTTGCGACAATTTTTGCAACTCAGCTTTAGCCGGCAAACGAAACCTTCTGCTATGAGACTTTAGAGACTTCCTTTGAACTTCTTTGACAGATTTTTATTAATAGTTGTTACATTCACGAGGGTAATATCTTTTGTTTTTAACCACTCTATACATTTCAGATAATAAACTACTTTGAAGAATGACTCCAACTAATGGCGAAGGCGCGGAGCCGCCTCATATCGTGATACTGGACGGGGGGTTCTCGACACAACTGTCTTGTCACGTCGGGCACGTTATCGACGGAGACCCGCTGTGGAGTGCTCGCTTCCTCTACACGCACCCGGAAGAAGTCGTTAACACCCACCTCGACTTTTTAAGAGGTAAAAAACAATTTTAATTTTGCAAGGAAAAAATATTCGTAATTTAAAAAAGATTTTTCAATATTAAACACTTAATGAGGCGTCCATTTTGGTACTACGTAGGTGGGTAACTAAATGCTAAATGCATTAGCATTTAGTTTATTTATTATTATTATAGTAGCAATTCATTCATGCTATCATTATAATAACAAATTAACGTTTAGGTACTCCACGTGGTAGAAAACAAAGGATTTTGCACATCTTACCATAGTGGTTGGTGGACACGTGGCATGGATAGATAAATCAAACAGTATTAAAACTCATCCTTACTCTACAAGGAAACCTTGTGTAGCATTTATTTACATTAACGATAAAAATGATATGTAATACCAAGATGTGTGTGATAGAACGAATGTTTCTATACATATCTATTAATATGAAATTACCCACACATGTACATTGTGTAAATGACAGTAGTGTCGATGTGAGCGTTACGAACTAATTAGCGGTGCTTTGTGTACGTACGTACGTAAACTACCAGTTAAACATCATATGAAGGTCTCAACGTATTATGTACTGTCCAAGTTACAGTACCAAATTTTACTGAAAGGAATTCAAACATCGGTCACCCAAAAGTTTTCTGAATGAATTGAAATACAGATGAAAACAAACCGCAAACGACTGCGAAGTTACACAGATAGTAACACAACTAACATAGACCCGCAAAACGCTGCGGCTAAGTACAAGAGTACAGAACATGCGTGTTTTGACGAATTACACGTTAGGTCGCTTTTAGCCTGTCATGTTCATGCATCTGACAGCGAGAGTGCGACCTCGTCTCGTGTCATCGTCCTCTGAAAGCGCTTTTCTTCACCACAAAACGGACCGTTTCTTTTCATAAGGAAAAGCTGAAAAGTGTCTGCAAGCAAATAACTCCCTGGAGGGAAAAGCCTACTGCCTTGCTTTGCTGCCTCCTATAGAAGATATTATGTGAAAAATATAAAATATGACCGCATACTTTGTGAAATCACGAACGCTTTTACACTCCCGTCACATTGAAAACACCGGACAAGATAACAGTTATTACTATCGCTGTGTATTGTTCAGATGTACGTACATGGCAATATGAGTAATATTGCCATGTACTTACATGGCAATATTACTCATATGTACGTACATGTCCTAACACAGTAATAAAGTCCATTATCAGTGTTTTTATATATTGCGGCATTATAGTAAGTGTAGACTGTAGACAGCTCGGGTACCTAAGTACAATGTACCTATCTAATCCATAAAGTCGCAAGCTCACATATTTTCTCGCCAGGTAACTTGCAGCTGTTCCGCCGTGATTATTATGATTGACGCTGTAGCAAGTTGGCAAGTGATGCCGCTATTTCTCCCTCATCTACTAACTACTTCACATTTGCATAGTACGGTGTCGGCAGGCGGCAGGCGGCAGGAGGCGCGACTCCCGCTCCGAGCCGCCAGCGCCTCGTATACAAACTACAACTCCGGATACACAGCGTTGTTGCCATTAATCACCTTGTCTGTCTAATACCTTTCCATTCGCAAGCCGTGCGCCGTCTTCTATTTATTACATAATTATTTTCTTCGACAGAGAACGGTTCCTTTGCCGACCTCGCTTCCGTAATATTGAACAAGCCGGCCTCGTGTTGCATTACTAAGTTTTAATAATATTAATTGTTTACGCCTCTTAGCCGCACCCCGCTCACAGTCCGTATACTAACAAAGTTTAACTTTAGCCATATTTATCGAACTAGTTTCGTAATACCGACTTCGGAGTATGTAGACTATTAATTAACGTCGACATGAAAAGCATATAGAGATATCGGTGACATGGTAAAAGATATTTTTAATCTTGGGATTCATCTGTTTTCATTAAATGCAGGTTTTGTTTAATTTGATTAATGTGCCTAAACGTTATGACTGTTTGTGGGTTATAAAATGTGTTTTATGGTTATTTTACAGCGGGAGCAGACCTAATAATAACGAATACTTACCAGGCATCGGTCGAGGGATTCGTAGAGCACCTGGGCATTACGGCAGAAGAGTCGTTCGAGCTGATCGTGCGAGCCGTGGAGCTCGCTAAGCGCGCCCGCTCTGCGTACCTGGAGGAGTACCAGGACTACTTACAGAACGGCAAGTACATTCATTCGTGCGGGAATACATTACAATATGCGGGGCCTGAATGCCATGACATATTTCATAAATGAATACCGAGCGCGGCATGCCTCCGGAGTAAATGGGAGACTTTAAAAGATCAAATGAAAATGACAAATGGTTCTTTGGCCAGTGAAATTACATTTATAGCAATACAATGTATAAAGATTTTAATTAAATATCAAGCAAAAAGCATCGTTTGTAGTAGGTATAATCAATTAGATGCTAGGTACTTTAAAATTATTTTCAAATAAGTTGTGAGACTATTCTAAGAGTTAAATTTAATGAACATGACTATAGTAGAAAATGTTAACTTATGAATATTTTAAAAATGATGACGATCTCTCAAACGAAAAGCAATGTAATGAAAGTACCCTTAGAGCAAATATCTAATTTCAACATTCATTCCTCGAGTCGTCGTTCATTTTCTAGTAAACAGGCAAATAGGCTATAAAACCACTTGAAAATACGCTTTTAAATCTTTATCACGGGTTTATCATGTACTTTATGACCGGTATAACTTTTTAGAATGACAAGTGGCTATTTAAAAGGTAACTCCGCAATACCCCCCGGTACTTCCACCTGTTTTTAAATTAGTTTCAGTACTAAACTTTACATAGAGATACCTACTTGAAATTCACCAAAGTAAAACAGATGTAATTTATTATTTAAATTTATAAAATCTCAAGAATGTTTGTGTTTTGCTGTAAACAAAGATGGTAGGGTCCGCAGCGGTAAGGGTCGGGTGCAAGCACGCATTAATTACACTTTGCAAGGGTTGAAAGTTATGTGTATTCGCGTAGATAATGTTAGAACATAGTGGTGGAGATATTATAAACAAGAACTTGGCATATTTACGGTAACTTACCTGTTCCTTTAGATCGTATCCCGCTGATCGTGGGTTCGGTTGGGCCGTATGGCGCTCACCTGCATGATGGCTCGGAATACGATGGCAGCTACGCAGACACTACACCTGTTGAGGTAAATATATACTTTTATTGTAAATCTGTAATAAACTATTACATAATTCTTATGTGGATTATTTATAAACCATTCACATAATTTTTATATGGATTATCCGTAGCTATAGGTACTAAGTACTTACGTTTTATTATTAGTTACCTATGTTAATTCCATGTTCAAATAAAACAGGCCATGAAAATATACATAAAAAAAATGAACCAACCAAAAAAAATATCTATTAGCTTTTCTTTTCATTATGACTACACCGGTAACGGCTATAAATTCCCTGATATAAAGTGAAGCCACCATGGTTGAAACTTTATAATATTTTTAGTCAAGTAAGTAATAACTGTACACACTTGAGTAGCACGTAATATGAAGATAGATAGGTTTCCTGCATATTCAGATCTAGTATTAATGTATATAGGTACTATCTTTCGTGTATGCATAGATATCTAAATGTTGTATGTAGTCATTCAGATGTAGGTAGTTCATAATTAATGACTTTGGCCAAAGCTAAATTGGTTCTTTGTCTATTTCTATATGTATGTTGTCACTAAGAGCTTTTAGGGCGGCAATCGGTTGAATCGATCTTGTTCAAATGTTAAAGGTAAAGCTTTCTAACTAAAAGCTCTGAATTCACAGAGTGAGTGTTTTTATTATTCTACATTAACTATGCTGTTCGATTTTAGGGATCCTTACCCTTATTTTTTCGTACGTTTTGAATGACGCAATGAGTCGGTGTTATGTTTAGGTGTCTAATAATAATATAATCGATACGAATTGTAATAAATACTGGTTGTAATATAACATTGTGTAGGTTGGGTGATTTTAATATTTCCATGATTTAAACATAAGCATTGAGAATACAGTGTTATTTTGAATCTATTATTCCTGTTGAAATCTGAGAAATTGCTGTTGTATATAGGTTAAAATAATGCATCATGGAAACTGTTATTCTTTTCCTCTCCTTTACCTCTTCTCAAGAATAATATAACCTGCTCATACTAGCAAAATTTGAGACGATTTTTCACGAATCTGCAGACGCGCTACACATTTTCATAATGTAATCTTTTGTAGTTTGGAAATGCAAATATTTATATGAAACTGCATTAAACCAAACTGCTACATTTGCGTAGTCATGTGCTATTACTGTATTTGGTTTAAGTTTAACATATTAAAAATAATAAGAAGTGATTCAATAAAAACGATTAAATCAGTCACTCAATCATACGTACGGAACCCCGAGAGAAACGAATGCATAGCCTAATAAAGGCCATTGAAAGCGGCGGCTAAATCGTAAAGAGGGCCGTAAAGTTGCCTGCAAATTAAAATTTACATCGGCAATATGAAAAACTCCACTCCATTTCTCTTGTTTTTTTTCCTGTACCGACAGCATTTGACTGGGGTGGACAGTTAATTAACGAAACCTAGAACAAATGGCTATCTGAAACAAACATGAAGTAACAAAATGTGCGCCGTAATTAATTTGGAGTTCTTTTATTGTTTTATCAAAGCCATGTTTTAGTTTTGGATCATAACAATTGTTCCTTTTGTGTTATTTAGTTTTTTATAATTAAAAAAATGTTTTTGTTTTATAGACTATGAAAGCTTGGCATCGGCCTCGGATCCAGGCACTGGTACAAGCTGGAGTCGATCTTCTGGCTTTGGAGACGATCCCTTGTCAAGAAGAAGCTGAGATGTTATGTGACCTTCTTAGGGAGTTCCCTCACATGAAAGCTTGGATCGCATTCAGTTGTAAGGTAAGCTAAATATTTTCTGGTATTCTTTACAATATTGAGAATAAAAGAGGCATAAAGAAAGTTGGTGAACCATAACCAGGTTGGTTTATTCAAAATTGCGGATCGATGAGTTACGTAATAGCTTCGATAAATTTTCCTCTTCGGTCCGAACCAATTTTGAAATTCTAAAATAACAGAAATCATCTATTGGTGGGAGTTTGGTATTGACATGTTGCGTCACTGGCTTGTTCTGCTGGTGGGTCATTTATTTTTATACATAGGTGTCCGAATGCGGCAAGTTAGCACTGTTGATACACCCAGCTCCGGAAATATTCAAATGGAGCTTGTTACTCCGTCTATACGAATGGTTTGAATTGAGGACAAAAAGCGGATCACCTCAGATAAACGATTTGCAAAAAAGTTTTTATATAGGAAAAATAATTGGTTTTAAACTTTGATACCTAATGTATAGAAAAAAGCATATATACGGTCGAATTGAGAACCTCCTCCTTTTTTTGAAGTCGGTTAAAAATACTAAAAATTGCCAATTTTCGAAGGTATCTAAGACTTTTTGTTGCAGATCAAAGATCTGGATTCGATTTCCAGTTCGAGCAAATTATTATTATTACGTTTATACAAAATTTTCAGTAATAGAATAACACTTGTCACTTCTGTCTACTCTGTCCCTTCAGAGAGTGGAGTGCGTGCCGACACAGTATTAAAATCATAATAAAATATTCAAAATGAACTAGAATGTTTCCCGTCCGTACTATTTGATAGTCAACACTTTAACAGTATAGCTGTTAGTGTTGCTGAGATTCCGCCAACTTTTACAACTTTAACGAAACGATAAGCACTTTCGAAACATTGTAGCTTCTTAGTGTTTTCTGTCCATTTCCAGATGAAGAAGAATTTTCCATTTTAAGTGTCGCAATACGATCACAAATTCCAGCTTTATTTGCCGTGTCTGACTTTTGTTACTTTTTTACAGGACAATCAAAGTATAGCTCACGGTGAAAGCTTTCAAAAGGTAGCCAAGAAATGTTGGGAAACGAACCCTGACCAGCTAGTTGCCGTGGGAGTGAACTGCTGCGCGCCATCCTTTGTGTCGAACCTCGTGAAAGGCTTCAACGACGACCGGCCACACGACCCCATTCCGCTTATCGTTTACCCCAATTCGGGCGAAAAATACAACCCTCAAATAGGGTAAGATTTCCGTGTTGGATAACTTATCTAAGGTTTAGTTTGTATTTCCCAAGTGAATGTAATTGTCAAGTTTTCACTTCCTAATGTGACGAAAACTATGTAGTTAGGACTACTCATATTTTACTTGTAAACGTGAGTACAGTAATGGATCTATAAAAATTATATTAATACATATCGTAGTACACGCTACATGTCGTAGCATTTGCTACGACAGTCGTAGCACGTTGCAGTCTTCTAGCACTGCAACGTGCTACGAACTACGACGTAGCTTCCGCTACGACTTTGACATAATACGGTTTATTAAAAGAAATAATTTTCTTGGAGTTAAAGCCTGCTGTGCAGACTGGTCTGTTATTAAGCAGGCCCACTGCGGATTGGTTGTTCACCAATGTACAGTCCGGCAATATCCTGCATCGCTAAGATAAAACTTGTGCCATTTACGAAAAGTTTAATTCCCGACTTGACACTTATACTTTTAACTTAAACTTGCGCTCGTGATCCATTTTGCGCAAAGGGAACGTGCCACTCGTGTACAAAGTTGCTTGTTATGATACAACAAACTCTTAGTTTTTCTTGAATGGGTGAAACAGATCACTACAGTATGATATTCTTATTTTACAGTTGGATAGATCGGGACAAGTGCGAAGCGGTGGAAGTTTTCGTGCAAGAGTGGCTGGAGCTGGGCGTGCGATATGTCGGCGGTTGTTGTCGCACGTACGCCGCTGATGTCTCCCGCATACGCAACCAGGTTCACTGCTGGCGCGACCGGTGGCGCTTCCAGGCGAAATACCCCTACGCACAGAATAACAATGCTGAGTAAACAGCTCTAACGGTTCATAGTTCCTTGGTGGTTTATTACAAAACATTGCTCATGTATTTTCTATTAACACTTATGTAAATCGTATATGAGTACAGAAAACGTGACTCCAATTTTCATCAGTTTCGTGGTCACTGATATTTTCAGATCAGATCGCTACTCTTTTAACCCTGTTATTAAATACATGATTAACAACCGAACTGGTGACCTTGACTTGATACACACCTCAAATATTGGACATAAGTAGCTAAATACAGTTGTAACAAACCACCCTGAACCCTGATTGACTTTGACTACGTATAATTGTTATTTTAAAATAATAATAAAAATATATGTGCCATCATGATAATTTTAAGTAATTTACGGATGTACCTATGTATACTTATTATTGAAAATATAGAAAAATAAATATTTTTATGCAACAATTTGTTTGTTTTTCTGACACCTAATAGTTGTAAGTTAGGTACAAGTTCATATTCATACTATACTACCTATGTATGTGATGCCTAAATGAATTTTTTTTATGCGAACGATAAGTATACTTGCCGAATATAACACTGGAATAGGCAGAACAACCTGTTAAAACTGGACACCTGGATCTTAAATAAATTTAATATAACATGATATAGTGCCCACTGAATATGTATACATGTTTAAATAATGTTTGAAATTATAAGTTTGATGAAGACAGCGAGGCAACCGTGGTTGCGATCACTCGCCTAACAAGGCAATAAAAATACAAAAATTAGTAATATAAAAACTGTAAAGTAACATCATATAACATCACGCCTTTTATCCCAGAAGGGGTAGGCAGAGGTGCACATTATGCCATTGTACAATGTAACACCCAATTTTCACTATTTATGTTATGAGTCCCATGTAATAGGGGGTGAGCCTATTGCCATATACCGGGCACAATTCCAGACTCCGTGCTACTACTGAGATTTTTTTAAAAACCTAGTAATAAGTACTTTGCCCTACCCGGGAATCGAACCTGAGACCCCTTCCCCGGCAGTCGCACTTGCGACCACTCGGCCAACGAGGCAGTTCGTAAAAAAACTGTAAAGTAGGTAAGTAAAATAAAGAAAAAATACATACAGATTTTTTTTTTTTAAAACGTTGCCCCACACTAGGATTTTCTCCTGTGTCGTGGGTGCGTTTACAAACATACAATATCACATACACATGACACCCAGACCCGGAACAACAATCTGTGGATCACACAAAGAGTTGTTCCGTGCGGGAATCGAACCCGCGACACATTGCGCGGCAGCCAGTTGCCCAGCCACCGCGCCAACCGTGCAGTCAAATTAATACTACCCAATATTAATAGATAGGTACTTACGTACTACTACAGCATCTGCGCTTACCGTGTATGCAGATACACGGTAAGCGCAGATGCTGGGCAACATGTCGTATGTTCAATTCCTCTTCACGAAATAACTTTTAATATTCACAAATTGTTTCACTGTGATGTGCATTGTGTAGGTATGTCAATTTATTATGTTTGTAATCGTATGTGTATTTGTTCTCCTTGTGTGTAGAAAATAAAACACGTTTTAAAAATAAATATACCTACAAGTCTTAGCAATGACATGGTTTATTCAAAATTCGCCAACTTTATTCCAGATGCCATTTGTTAAACCACATGTTGGTGTCCGATTTATTACATAGATACGTCGTCCACTCGTAGCGAGTCTGTATAAAACTGATGGATCGCCATAAAGTGCACATATTGAATTCATAAAGTTCTGCTCGCTCATACAATGATTAACTTAATATTCGTTTGAATTTAGGTGGGAATGAAGAAAACGGGAATGAAACTAATGTGAAAGAGGAAAATGTAATTAGTTACTTATCTATTTTTAGTAGGTACGCTAGAGAAGTTTATAGGAGACGGCGTACCTACGTTAAGTAGTGAACGAAATTTCTACCTGATTATCTCAACAAAATGACTCGATGGTCGAGTGAACGAAAGTACGTTTGCCGAGCAAGGGTGTGTACGGGTTTGATTTCAAGGGTATTCCCGGTATCATTGAAATTATTTCGGTTTGTGAATAATTCTTAGTGTAGTAGGTACCTAAATGAAATTTAGTAGGTAGAGCACTAGCGCAATTTACCAAACTATCTACCAGGCTTATTCAGTCATCCTAACTGAATATACGACGTCAAATCGAATCGGACATCACTACGCTCCGCTCGCTCGTCCCGATACAAAAACTCATCTTCTTTTTGCTTCACTTTGTTTTTTAATTCTAGATATTGTGTTACAAAACAAAATTTTACCCTTTTCACGTGGAAATTCGACGTACAGGTTTAATTATGTTATTAGATTTTTTATAGTAAAAACAATTCCAATAGGTACCTACCTATCTATGCAGATATCCGTACCTACCACAATGATATAGGTAGGTACTTATTAACTTAGCTATTTATAATTATAAGATGATATAGTTACCTACTCGTAATATAAATACACTAATAAATCAGTGATGGGTATTTTAAATATCATCGCTTAATATTATTAATACACAGTCAACGACTTGCTAAAATGAACAGCAAAGGTGTCAGCCCATTCATTTACCGATTAAGTTAACGTTCGGAAATAAACAGCGAGTTCAAGTGATCTACTTAGCATGAACTTTTAATTCTAACTTCAAACACGTCATTATTTATGTACGAAAAGGTAGGTAGGTAGGTTCCTAGGTATGCAAAAGTACGAAGGTGGTGCGTAAATTGAAAATTAAATTAAAAACGGTTACGTTTGTTGTTGGTCATGCCGAGTTGCCAAAGTGACGACGCTCCTCTCTAGTTACTGTGTAAGAAATAAAAACATTCCGGCATTTTATCAGCTAAGAGGAATGGCCGACTAATTGGTTCGATGTCTTTTATCTAAAATCACTTAGTAGGTAAGTGGGCTGATACACTTGTAGAGGTCATTGTTTCATATATGTACCTATATAATTAATAGGTACTAGGCCCTACCTAACTCTACAACCATGCAAAATAAAAAATAACTGGAAGTTAGCAGTTCTTATATAAGTAAATAAGTTAAAATATATTAATTAGAGCTGAAAAATATTGTTCAAAAAATTCACCATACCGGAGCCTTGTAGAGTTCAGAAGCCAGACGGTTTGTTTAATAAAAACCTATTTAATCTACGCCGACCTTTATTTACCTGACCCATAAGTAATTGCGGTGGACGCTTGACATTCGATGTATTCGCTTGCCGTTGCCGTGTAGGGTCCGCATCATGTATTTCATGTCGGGCACGTTCGTACTCTGCTTTCCAGCCACTCCACTCATTATTAACGTGCCAGTGTTCTCGCTGGGGCTTCTCTCAATTTCCAAAATTAGGTAATTAACTGCAGGCATAACAGTAGCAGGTGAAATAATGTTGTGGCTGCTAAAGTTTTGATCATTTAGCACCTACATAGATACTAACTACTAGGTACTTATTATGCACTTTGATATTAATAACGGATTAGTTACAAGGATGCAGTGAACTGAAACGGAAACGCTGTCTATGAGTAGGTGTTTTATATCGGAGGCATTGCTACGTGGCCATGCTTTACGCCTACGTTGGGTGTCCACCCCGATGAGCGCTCGTTGAACCGAGTCACCCGTCACTACTCCGACCTACGTGGATAGTTTAGAATAGGATCCTTTCGTCGCAGGCTCTATGTAGGATATCTATCAATGTATTTTTATCAGTTGTATGGATATTTTTATCCTTATGTCTTTATAATTAAGCTGGCTTCTATTTATGAATAGACGAGTTTTTTCCTCAGGTGTAAATTTTATTCAGCTTTGGAAAGTGCATCATCAAATAGATCCTACGTCACACGACTCTTGCTGGAAATCTTATTTTACGTTCAAGTAAGCTCTCTATTAATTAGATTCAACTTTACTACCTACTAGACTAGAGTAACTAGAGTATTCTAATGCAAGCGTATCTATATAGACACTAAATAAAATTTTACGTTAAGCGCAGCATTCTACATAAGAACTTTACCAGATAAATTAAAAGAAAACGACACTTCTTGATATAATAAAGTTTAATACTTCTTAAAAGGAAAGGAAACGTCAGCATTTGCTCTCTTTTGCATCCATCAATATATTTCTGGACTGTAAAGTAGCAATGGCAAGAGTTCGGTCGTGTTTTTCTTCACTCAACTGGAGTTGTAGGTTCTTTACTTCCATTTTCAATGTTTTTACTTCATTCTGCAACCGCATAACTATTGTCCACAAACTCGGCGAACCCTGACTCGATGTAGTGTGTATCGGAAGCGACGGTGACCTCACCAAAGCCTCTATTGCCGGATTCTCGTCGTCGCATTCTGAAAATACAATTTTATGGAAGTATAAAGAAATACAATACAATTAGCTTCAGATGGATATTTGACCAGATACCCACCTTGTAAAAGTTTGCTCAAGTAATTAATACGCTACATGCTTGCTAATTTATAGTTAAAGTCATTTTGCGAGGCATTCTCATTATCAGATCAGTAGTGCACCTAATCATTCTGCTGATCAAAATACTATCTACACCGGATTCCTTCAGGTATGGCGACGGCAATGTTTCAAGATGTTAATAATAACTACAGTTCAATAGAAAAATAAATATAATATTGTACCACACAATTTCGTTAACATATAAAGATTAGAGTCGTTATACATATAGGATAAATGAATATTTTCAATTAACTTATACCTCATCCATGGATTCAAATATTACACTAGTGCTTTCGTTATTAAAAAGTGGAATCAACATATTTAATTCAAGGTAAGAATATGAGAAACATTAACACTAGACGAGGAACAAGTTGTACAATACAATTCTTATGACGATTACACAAACATTCAGAATGTAAAACTTTCAATAATATCAATGTGTGTTATAGGTATATGTATGCTAGATATTCCCCTCCAATAATGGGCACAAAAGCAACGAATATATAAGTATACGATAATATTAAAGTTATTATAACAACATACATATATCGCATCTGTATATATGCAGAACAGGTATTTTCGTTTATATGATACAGTATTTGACAACACAACACATATAATAAAAGAAATTAATGGATTATATCCAGTTCTTAAAAGGCATCGATTTGTTAGTAATAATAGATATACATAATTACACAAATACCACTACACACTACGTTGTTAATAATATACTACAAACAAATATTTAATATAAAGATACACCATTTTTATATTAAGTATATAGATTTCTATGAGACATAAATACTGAAATCGATTAATATTTGTTTAAAACTTAACAAAATGTACAACCATTATAAGTTATCGACCTCTTCTATTGCACCAAATAAAAAATTACGTAGAAGAGAAACGATAGCAGACAAACGTACACCGTTCAACAAACAAAGCTCATATTTTTGGTTTGCCAATTACATGCTAAATAAATACAAAGGGTAATTCATTCATATACCCGCCATCAAAGAGTATACTTAATGAAGTTAGCTCAGAACAGCTACCTAGGCACATAGCAGGCATTGTACATTTTGCGCGACCAACAATAAATCGATAACTTCGTGTCAATGATCTCGCCTTATAGTGAAAGCTGTGCAATGTCAAGCTTTACAACTTCAAGTGACTATCGCACGAAGAAAATCACGTTATACATGAAAATTACTGATTAAAACAGTGATTCTGTAATATTAAAAATCTTTTATAAAAAGATTGCATTAAAAATGAAAGGACTACGAATATAATATGGAATCTTGAAATATAAATATTTTTCAATAGTTACGTGACGATCTTAAAAAAACCCCTTATTACAATATTTAATTAAAATCCAGCTGTAATCAGTACACGACCTGGATATGTGGGAAAGCGTAAGGTGGATTTTCAGTTTCCACTTCAATTAATCAGTGCCAGCATATGCTTGACAAGCTCCACTATTTTTAGCTCTTTTCCCTAATGGGCCGTGGGAATAGCGCATCGCTGAATCAGTTCTTATAATATGTTTGTTGGTGACGCAATACGTGCAATGCAACTTATTTAAAATAGGGATTTCTACGATCTGACTTCCAAGATACACAAAACGTTTTTGAGATTATTCTTTCGAGACTTCGTAAAAGGCAGAGCCATTTTGCATTAGATAATGACACAATGAAACAGGTTAAAGTGTAGGCAGTGCTGCAGTTGGCACTGGGACAGTAACGTTCGTATGTAAATGTAGCATGCAGTGCATTGCGCTATCCTGTTCAATAATAAATGAATGGCACGCGGCGGGCGCTGCTGCCCACTGTGATTGCCCGCCGCCGCCGCACAACCTAATAACTCGCCTCACTTGTCTCCATTAGTTCTAGCCTCCACAACTAATATAATTACCTAATTACATTTTAAAATGAATATTACTATCGTTCGTATTTAAAAATCAGTTGTAAAGATTGTAAAAGTACAAAAGATGAGTTGTATTATGTAATCTAGCAATATTATTAATTTTCTTGTTGATATTGCCACCCTATTTGAATCATAGATATATTTTAATAAACATTTTAATAGATTCACAAATGTTGATAATAAATATATAATTCAAAAAAGTAACGACAATTTTAATGACTTCTACTCTTAATAGACGTCTGCGTATAAAAAGCACCATTTGGCATTTAATGGATTCCAATCATAAATACAAACAACTATGAAGAAAAATGTATCCTTGGCATCATTCCATTACTGATTCCACCAGTTCATGATTATAGTCTTAGAGTGTAGACATTTAATATATTAATTCCTTACAATCTACTAGTTGCTATAAGCATAACCATGCAAATTATGCTACAAATATTTAATGCACCACAAAAATATATTTATAAAATATACAAGCAACTTCTTTTAATTATTCTCTCTAATTACTAAATAATACTGCACACATGCATTGTATATGAAAAATCTATTTAAATATTGATAAAAACGCTTGTTCGACCGTTACACTAAGCCTACGTCAATGGCACCAGCACTAAATTGAAATCAAGGCGAATGCTTGTACCGTGTACTGTAACATTCGCCCTGCTTGCAACTCGTTTTGTTATATTACATTTAGTGCACAAATATAATGATCAGCAACTATGAAAATGAGGATGCAATTATTCAAATAAAAACAAAAAATTATAATATTAGTCAATGGGATCAGCTTTGGTTAAATGTAAAATTTGAAAATGAAACAGATTTTTAACGATCACACTTGTCACGAGATTACAGACGTGGTTAAACTTTGGAGGTAATCCGAGCGAACAGCGAAAGGGTGATTGATATGTAGGAACAACAATTGAGCATAAAACTAGTTTATCTACTTATGTCAATCAAAATGATGAGATTTCGTGAGTTGTTTGACAAAGGTGCCACAACACCAAGTAGAGGAGCGCGCGGAGCGGGACGTGGTGGAAGGCGAGGGGACGGTGAGCACAGCGCGGAGCGGCGCGGCCAGGCTCGGGTGTGAGCCGCTGCGGCGCTCCCGGCCGCATATCAACTTCTGTCTGCGCTCCTCGGAACACTCCCACAGATTGGGATTAGAGCGATTCATGTCGAATTTTCGGTCTGACAGCAGCCTCCTCGTGTCCGGGCCTCGATACAAGTATGCGTCCGCCGCAGAGGAGCTTTTGTTACGTTTTACTTTTGTCGTTTTACTACAGCCGGAATATTCGGGCGTGTTACTTCGCTGGACGGTCGGAAGTTTAGTGTAGTTATAGTGAGGTATGTTAGTAGCGGGTGCGTGATATTGTACTTTACCGAGAGACAAGTGGCCGCAGTCCACTGCAGGTGCGATATAAAGGCAGCCGCATGTAACAAAATAGAAAGATTCAGACTACCAGATCAAGAAACGAATGAGATTCGTAGTGTCCTTATTAGATTAGGTAGATAGTTGGCCTTTGTTTATACACATTAAGCGCAGTTTGAAGAGATTCTTGCGATTGTTAGTGACAAGATACATTTGGTGATGGCAGTAAGGAAGAATATACTAAATATTTGACTATTGTAGATCGCATACTCAAGACTATAGTCGATACGGAAATAAAATAAATAAGTAACTTCTACGACTAGCTACTTTGTACTCATACGAACTAAAGTTACAATAAATAAAACTACTATAATTTATTACCGTATCTTGTTTGAGAATAAATTAATACTTACGATATCAGATCTACGAGAACTAATATAGTGAACGAGAGATTATTAAAGCATGCTGCCCATGCACTTAGAGATGTGTGCCTGCATAAATACCGATATAAATACGGAGACACTGAGTATTGTAATAAATTAATATACTGATACACGAAGTGCTTACTTAATATAAATATATCGTCATTACACCAACAACAGCAAACTTGAACAAATATTATTCTCAAGCGCTACTTGTATGACTAGCGAAAAATTTGGTTTCATGTAAATACAGATCTGTCATTCTAAGAACCAACTGATTATGCGGTTTCTTGACTTCGCATGTCTCCTCCTTGTCGACTCGAATATCTCCAGCGGAATATTGGGTACTGCATAATAAATACGCTGTGTTAGTGAATGGCTGCGACCTGCTCATAATCATCATTCAATTACAACGTCTTATCGTAATTATGACGTTTATACTTTCGCAAAAACATATAATACAGCGATATCAGTTTACTTTTTATAGCTGGATTTAAGTACTGAAGAGGCACGAAGAAGTATATTTACAATAAATTAACAAAGACTCTACATACATTAATAGATTAATCCGCTGAAGCAACAGTAGCTGGTTTGCCATTCTCTTTAGAAGTACTACAGGTCTCTGTCAAGTATTGTGTCGTGTGGTAGTGGGAGTAATTCAAAGATACTCACCTGAACTTACAGCATTTCTGCAGCGCGCCGAGGTGCAGTAAGCCTCGATAACTTTTAATATTAGAGCGTCCTCTTCATAAGAATTGGACTTTCGTTGATGTGGCGCATAAGGGTGCGTCGGCCCAATGTTTTCGTCGGAACCCACCGTAAATGATTGCGGTCTGAGAGGCGGTGCCGGCCGTAAACATGTTATGCTCCACCCTACGTGTGCATGAAACGAAATATTACAGTAAGTACTCCAATCTTATTTGGTTCTAACATCTAGGAAAATATTGAAGCAGATACTCGTTATCAACGAGAGGGACCACGAACGTTTACACAAGGTAATAATTAACATGTTATCTTCTGTGGACATAAGTCCATAACTTATTATTAACTTCAGTAAAATATTTTCTAAGAATAATCACTAATTATTTGGATAAGAGGCATCTATCAGCGGCGAGTTAATTGCATGAACATCTTTAAGCCTAATTAATCTCAAGATATCGCACACGTGTGATAAATAATAAAAATAAATTACCTTTATTGCTGTAGTTCGAGCCAGCCGTGTCGATGAAATCCACAGATGAAAACTTTTTACCGATAGGACTTTTATTTGACTTAGCGGGTGATTGGTCAAGTGAGTCACACGAATTTAAGAGCCAGCGCGCCGACTGATTCTTTTGTTTATTTTTTTGCGTTTGTTGCGTATGTTGTGTGTAGCTTTGATGATTGTTGAATGAATGTGATCTTTTATGGTTTGTTAGACCAGACGATAAATCAGAGTTATTGCTGTCGCTCATGGCCATCTGTGAAAAACAAAACTTGTTACTCAACCAAAACTTGTACCAGCAGACTAAGTAGAACTGTCAGTTAGCAAGTAGATACATTTGTGCACGTAGTTTTATAATAATTTACAACTTCTTTAGCAGCATTTGTTCAAACATTTTTAATTATCTTAAATAAGCAAGGATATCTAGCGGACACTCGCCAGCTGCTTCGTCATCAGTTTCCAACATCTGCATTTGTGTAATTATCTGCCGACGCAGTCGTATTCTTTATCCCAGTTCAAATGGGTTTAAAAAATAAGGTATTCAAACACTGGGTTGTTCAATGTGTGTCCGGATATTGGCGTGAGGAAATAGGTCATTAAAGCCTTACCATGCAATATTTTCATCTTAATCGGTTAGTATAATTACATGAGATCTACTTGCATGATTGTTTTTTAGTTAGTATGATGAATAAACACAGGCAAGGATGATCAAGTAAAGCACTGCAACACTGGGGTAACTCTAATGACAGTATTAATCTAATGGTTACAAATCCTCAAGGCAATATTATCTTCAAACCAGTGACACAAATCAGTAGCTCTTTACAAAAGAATAATCCTTGCCTGAGTCGGTGACCACGGTAATGGGTAACTTTGCTTTCATCCACCAGTGTGCGTACAAATCTGACCGATACACCACAAAGCCGCTTTGGGCTTCAGCTAAACCCTTCTGCACTTTTGACAAGTCTTCACTGCGAGACCTCGCCTTGCGCATTTGCAAGTTATTCTCATTCATACTTTGTAAGTTTTCCTTGTTAAAAACATCTCGGTTGCGTGGTGCGTTAGCCCGAGACTGCCTCTGCATGTTATTGGTTTCTGGAGTTTCACGATAAATACGCATGTGGTAATGTAGGCTAGGCTTTGATTTTTCTGTTATGTTCAAAGTACTCCACTGACTGGGGATCGGTTGACGAACATTCTTCGGAACTTCTATGTGAGTACTAGGCTTCCTGTACACCCTAGGTGGAGGTTCAGGTTTTAGTCTGATCTCTGGCACGTAGCGTTCGATGTTTCTTCTAATAGAAGTTCGTTTTATTTGCGTTGTTGGTACTGACGGTGACGCAGTAAACGTAGATGTTAAATTCATGTTTGATGAATCCATGACATCGAGGCTGTTCTCTGAGGTGACACTTGTAACACAAGAAGTTCTAGCAGTCGAACCAAATGGCGAAGTGCACCTGCACTGATCTTCATACGTGGCCGCTTCTATTTCAGATAACGTCACTTTCTTTCTATGGTCAGCATCAAAACTGCCCTGAGATAAATTGGTTAATGAACCTTTTGAATTATCACAACTCTTGTCGTGACTATCTGATTCATTCCCGGTGGTACCAGAACTCGAGTATTCGTGCATGTTCAACTCTGGCGAAGCTAAGTTGCAGCTACCTACAACACCTGAGTCAGACGATCGAGGGCTGGGACACACTGATCTGTTACAACATTCACATTTTCTATGCATTTTGTGATTTTCTGATTGAGAGCTCATTCTGTGTATCCTATCATCATCATTTCTATGATAGTTCTCAGTTTCCACCATTGACCTTGACATCGAACGTCTTATTCTTTTGTCTGAATTTAATGAATGCTTTCGGAAAGGCACGTTGGTATTTAGATTAACATTAATTATCTTCATGTTTTCCTCCTCGTTTCTAAACATCGGCGGCGGATCTAATATTATAGATTCTATAGGACTGTAACTTTGTTTCGGTGACGGAGGAGCCAACAGTTGTAACACATCAGACGTTAGCTGTTCATCAGCACTTTCTTCTTCAGGCGTATAACTTTCCTCGGTAGATTTCCAGAGTTTCGTGACTGTTTCATTTTTAGCACTTACATTTGGAAAACTCCTTCTTGTTGGCAAAAAATCTTTTTCATCACTGCCAAGTATGTCAATTTGTGTACTTTGATCCATATTAACTAAATCTTCACATGCCATATACGTTCTCACTTCGAAGCTGGAATTCTCAGTACTTTCGGAATGTGGGGCAAAAGGATACAAATTCTTAATTCCTCCTCCTAGAGAAGATTTCTGGTATTGTTGACCACTGTCTATAGTATTTATGGTGTTGTGAGGTTTCTTACTGCCAATAGAGATTCCTTCAAATAGGTCACGTGTACAATCAGCTCTGAGTGTTGATTGCGAGTCATCCAAATGCATATCAGAGGCATTATTATCAAAATAACGCACATAACCAAAGTTACTACCCCAACTACTACATGACGATATTGTTCGCGGACTTTCCATAGCATTTTGTCTCAAAATTTTTGAGCAGTTGACTGCTTCTGCATCCGTGCAGCTAGAGCTTGTGTATGACTCAGTGCCGTCCGTTTCTCTATCGCTGTCATCACTGTCAGAATAATCCGCGTCAGCGCCGATCGTGCCATCATTTTCTATTTTTAGACGTATATGGTTTTTATGTCTCCTTCTGACGGGTAATCCAGTTAACTCGAAAGCCTTAGCCCACGTCCTTTCATGCAGAAGTTTGCGTAACATCTGTCTCGTGATAACTTTTTTCTTAACAAGTCTCGCAAAATATTTGGTTAACGAGTAGTAAGGAGATGCAGAAGGGTAGCTAGGCGGTGGCAACGTGACGTGATAAAGGCTGCGGCGACTAGAGTTGATGCTAGACAACGCCCCTTCAGAAGGAGAGCGCGTCAGCTATACAACCAAAAATAAACCCTTAGTCTTGTGTTTAAACAAAGTATATTCTAGTTCGAGTGACTATTAGACGCGTTCAACATATATTATCTTTATAGTTATGCAAATTGGGGTAACATTTGTAAGCGATACTTACATGTGGCAATGATTGCGGTTGTCCAGGCTCATGAGCAGGGCTGCTGGTGTTGGAGTGTTTTTGTAACAGACTGACCCAATTGTCAGCTTCAGCTCTTGTTTGACACACGGCTACAATCGTATCTATCATTGGTCCGCCTATTTCAAATGCATTCTTTCTGGTATCTGTATCATCTAATTTAGAGACTGTGATGCCAGTTAGTGGAAGGCAACCCTGCAAAAAATTACAATTAGACACTTTTCTGTAGATAAAAACTCCACTCAGTTTTGTAGACTTTCATACTTACTTCATACACAAATGCAGACACTCTCTTGCTGACAGAAAGCAAGAGTAATGCTGATGGGAAGAGTACAAGATAACGGTCTTGATGTGAGGGGCCTACAGCTACACTGCCCATATGTAACACATCACCAAGAGATGCCAGTTCACCTCCTGGCCAGCCGCGAACCTCGCCAGTAACCACTTGTAGCTCTAACTCTTTTTGTCGCCGTAATGCAGCACAACCACTCTGAAAATTTCGTATAATAAGGCTTCTGTCTAAATTGAAAAATAGTATCAATCCTTCTAGCTAGATATTTGTAAGAAAAATCAGTAAAAATAGTAAAACATGATAAAATAAAAACAAAAATTTACGTGTTAATCTATCAATTAACTTTTATCATAATAATGGTAAGCCAGCTCAAGACTAATTAGCAAAACATAAGGTTTCATGGCTACTGAAATCTAATTAATAAATTAGAAAAGTAACACAGTTGCCAATTTAGAAGCATCCTTCAGTAATATTATTTAGCATTTATACATACAGCTATATCCTTGTACACAACAGATGCTCGATGAGTGTCACCCCTATCTGGATGTGCTTCATGGACATGCCTTGCGAGCTCCTGTAGCATTGCAGGATATTTCCCCAACCTCCGGAATGGCTTTGATAAGCCAGCCGTCAAGACAAGCACCCCAGGACATACAGCACCAGCTTCTTCCATCCATGTATTCAGTTCTTCCCTAAAGAAAACCATAAATTATTTATTTCTCATCTTTATGGTGTAATAACAGCAAAATTAAAATGGTTTATTTTCACTTAGACCACAACTTACTTGTATTTATCCAGAATACAAACTGCTTTTGGATGGCCAGCACAATAACTTTGATGTACACTCTTAATTTTTGGTGCCCATTGTAAAAACAGCCCGCCTACTCTTTGATCAGGACCAGTCTTTGTCGCACATTCATCTAATAATGCTAGGAACTGCTCATGTACTTGAAGCACTTCATTTATATTGCCGGTCAACTGCTTGAATTCATCTCTTGTCAGCCTAAAAATAAACAATAACCACAATGTAATTCATCTATATAAATTGTATATAACACACAATAAATGAGAGAAAAAATTCAATCCAAAAATTCAAATAGCTAGTGGTTGGTGCAACTAGAGGCCCAAGTCATCATGCAGGATCAATCTGCATGATTGTTTTCTCGCCCAGATACAAAATGCTTCACCCTAAAGTGGATCCTGCATCTTTGAATTTAAAACATAAATCACAAAAACTTACATTTCACTTTTCTCCAAAGGCTGTAAGAAATTGCTGACAAGTCCCTGCATTTCAGCTACATGAGCCTTCTCAGAGTCTATTATATCTTTGAGAACTACATTTCTGAACGCCTGTATTTCTGATGCTGCTCTTATAGGGGATGTTGTCACACTACCCGATGGATCTGTGATAAAGTTCAGGTTGATAATATATCTGATACTTTTCATTGTTTAGCAATCTAGACAGTATGAGTTAAATAGGTCACTAAGGATACACTTATATTTAATGCTTTCCATTATTGTGTATTAGCAATACACAATTAATATATACTTGATTAAACTAAGTGAGTTTTGATAGTGTATAGTTAACTAATAAGTTTTCGAATTGAAAATTTCAATGAATGCACATAATCTTTACCAAGTTAACTAGACATAAAAGACAAACCTTTATGTTCAGTCACATAGTTGCTTGGGAACCAGCCAGTAGTCTCGCCTAAAGTTCCCTCCCACCATCCACCTTCTTCTTTTTGGGTAACAGTTATAATATCGCCTTTTTTGAAACATAGCTCGTCATTATTTTTTCCCTTGAAAGAATAAATTGCTTTCACCAAGCAATTTTCGGTTGACATTTTATTTATTTTCTAGCACCATGTTCTAATTTCTAGAACGAGAAAAGAAATCCCAATCAGAATGGTTGAATGCTAATCAGGGAGCAGGTTTACATTCAGTATGTCGGGCCGCCGGGTTATACCAGTACTGTTTCCAAATACGTCCACAATTAGAATTTATGAGTAAATATTTTAATGAGGCACGAGAATTTGTTCAGATTGAAATATTTTTTGGACAGCTCACAGAAATAACAGGAAGTGTTGGTGTCAAATCATAAAAATTTGTATTACACAGTTATATTATTGGTTACACTGAATAAATTCACTTTGAAATACTTGAATACATCCGAAATCTATAACAATAATATGGTATAATAATTCAATAAATGGTTAACAACGTACAAAAACGTAAAATCCTCGATTTTCACGGACTTCCAGTTCCAAAAATAAATAGACCACAGACTAGACTAGAGTGTGAATGCCAAAATAATGACAGCAAATTGAAACTTCTACGGCCCAAATCAAACAGAGAGCAGTTTAGGCGCTGGCTTCACGATTGCACGAGACGAACAAATGTAATGGTTATGCAAAATTGTAAGCTATAGTGGATAAACGTAGGTATTTAATTTTTTATTTATTTAAGCTTCATGCACAAAATGTACATAAGGTGGACTTAATGTCGCAGGCATTTTCTCCCAGTCTAACCTTTGGGTGTTGCAGAGAAGAGTCAATGGTGTGAGCAAGAAGCAAGCAACGAATTAATTGAGTACTTAATTAAAATAGATACACTTATATATTTAGTGATAAACATAAAGAAACATCATTATAATATATATACCTACACACGAGCGCAATAAACTATACATACATGCATTCATATTTTACTGTTTTAGGTTTCGCATTTAACTCGTTTTATTTTATTAGTGAAATCGTGCACTCCATAATGTCTAGTGTCGATTGATTTGGACCACGGTTGCTAATCTGCGTAGTAAAACTAGTCCACTTCTTAGCTAGAACTAATATCCCTAGTGCTAGTGCACATACTTATCGGCGTGAGCACAGATGCACTGCGTATGTATGTAAGAAGCGAGGCCCAAGACCATATCACAGCTTTACATGGTTTCTGAGGCATGGGGGGTGAGAAAAAAATTAGGCAAATCAAGAAAAATAGATACAAAAATATCCGACGCGAGAATCGAACCGGCAACGACCTAACTACGACAACCGTGCGTGTTGCAGTATTAGCGCGTAGTTTAATTCAAATATCTAAGAGCAAACAGCGTTAACAACGCGCTGTGATTGGTTGCTTCATTGCTTCAGAGTGCCGAACGCATACTCGTTTCGAATACTTTAAACGTAAATCAAACTCGTACTAAGGCCTCTGTAGTGTATATACATTATTTATGTGATGTATTTTGGTGTAGATTTAGAACTTTCAGAGTTCAGAAATACCTACTTTCTCTCTTACCTCTACCCACATTATAACAAAACACTAGCCTTGATTGGAACCGTTAAATATTTTACTTGATTTAAAAATAGCAAGTATTGAAATTATTTTGCTAGTCTATTGGTTTTACGTTCTGACTTTTCAATATTTCGGCAGTTGTCTATTCATTGCTTATTATAGGGGTGAGCTTAGGTATTTGATTGCTAAGTTTAAGAGCACAGAGGTTATAAATAGAGCAAATTTAATGAGGTACCTAATTCACATATTTGTCCATCCAGTGATACAAATATTCCATCCAAAACGCGCAAGTACGAGTTCCATCACAAATTTCTTCATATCTATTATGGGAAGGGTGGTTAGATGCTTAAACTGTCAAACACCAAGCGGTCACCGGTGACCGCAACCTATTGTTCTATAATTGTGTCTACAAAACCGGTACTCGACGAGTTAATAGCAAGGAAGTTTTCCAAGACTATCTTCAAATCAAACACAGAAGTTTTAGTACAAATTTAATAAATGAAAAATTACATAAAAAATATAGGTAATGCCTATTGCTTATCTGTAATTACAAATTATTAGATATATTATTTACATTATCTTAAAAATGTAAGAATGTTATTTATTTATTTAAATTATTATGTATTGAGATTATTATTACAAAAACTCATCACACCAATCTTTCAAACACTGATAACAGTCTGCAGATTGTTTAGAGTTAGCATTGCATGTGTCCTTCAGCCATTCTTGGAAAAGCTCTTTATCTTTCTTTAATACAAGAAATTGTCCCAACACCGTGTAGGCCTGTAAAAATAAGGAATAGTTATTTAAACATAGAAAGTGGATATAATTAATTCCAGGTTACTCCCTAACTTATTCCCATTAGAAAATAATATTATATTAGGGTCATGGTTAGGCTTTCACATTGACAATCTAAAATTAGCTATGACTTAATTTTGAATCGCTTTAAGGATTTCATATTTTGCTGACAATCATATTCCTACAACAACTTGTGAATGTAGTCTGTGTGGTGTTTATGAAAGAAGCAGTAATGACATAACAATAAAGTAAAGAAGTTGTATCACATATTTATATTTACAAAACAAAGAACTAAGAAAGCAGCATATAACCTAGTTTAGACATATAAACATAACCAAATAGATTTTATAGCAGGGTGTTCTTGAAACTGTTGAAATAAATAAGTAAGTCGATAAACAACTATGTAAAATTTTAAAAGGTTCATTGATAATGTTTGATGAATTGTGAATTTATAGAAACCGGCACAAATACGATACGTAATAAATACTGTTTTACGCAGTTAAATCTAGTCATCTAGTCATAAATTGCTGCTTCATCAAATATACGGTTTTTCAAAGTACTTTAAAAACATTGCACAGTCCACTAACCTTGTCGAATCCCGCCGTTTCCAATCTCTTTCCCAATACCTCACCGACGCCAGCTAGCTCAGTTACAGGTTTTTCTCCCATAGGCTCAGCAACAAAGTTTCTATGTTTTTGTGATGTACTCGACATTGTGGCAGAATAATTTTAATTTCTTCAAGTAAAATCAATTAGATGATCGTGATAAACGCAACAACTTGACACTCCTTTGAATGTAGATATCAATAACGATGATTAATCTAACGGTAAACGTGCAAACCAAACAATATTGAAGTTGAAGAGTAAAGCTTTAGGGTTGCCAAATAAAAATTTTAACCACAGTATAAAAACCATACATAGCTTAATCATTTTTCTGTTCTGTTTTTTGTTATGTTCTGTAGGAGCTTGTGAGACATTACATGCCTCGATGACAAATTTAAATAGTTTTGGTGTCAATAATGAATTCTATGTCGTACACAAAAATCAGAGTTTATGTAGTGTCGGTTTTTATTAGGTATAGAATAACCTGTACCTCTAATAATTTGGTTCTTCTATGTTAATATTTTACTCTGACAACACGAATTAATTGTCAAAATTTAATCTGAGCCTGTCTGATTCTGAATAGAGTCAGACAAAAGTCACAGAAGTCTGGAAACTAAAAAATAAAAACAAACAATTCAAAAAACTACTCGTCGAGCGTTACTACAGCTGAAACTGTAGACTATACGTTAATTTTAATACAAAACCTAATGAAATGGAGATTGCAAATACATTCATTTGTATTTACAGCACTACACAGTTATTGATTAATTTTCATGAAATCTGATCAGACCATGAGCAACTTTCAGCACCTTGTTTTCATGGTGGAATACCGAACTTGATCTTCTAGGTATGTAATCATAAGTGCTTGTTGTAATATCCTTTTATCTCGCCATGGGATCTTCATTTGAAGAAAGTTTATATCGCGCAGTATTAGCCGAAGATCTGGAGGCGATATCCCGAGCGCTTTCTAAAGGTAAGATTTTTTATTAATAGATATTTTCTAATAAACTTGCATTTTTCTGTTTATTACTCCTTGTTAACATTTGTTGGGAATAGTTAATGACTACTCATTACTCATTGCAGGTGCTAATCCTAATACAATTACTGTACAAGGTAAAACCAGTTTGGGTGAAGCTGCGAATAGCGGAAATATTGATATTGTAAAGCTATTAATTAAAGCCAGTGACTCTAAACGACATGTGCCTGTACCATATGTGGGGTCTCCTAAAAAGAGACAAGTGAAGTGCCATAAGCGCAAGTTGAGACATCATGGGCCACATGATGAGACTGTTGTGAAATGTAAAAGCATGAATGATAGAAATTTTAAAGATTTGAATTTGGGTCAAGAGACTAGGGTAAAAGGTACTCAAAAATCTGAAACCAATCAAGGGTACTTTGTGTTTACACACAGTGACGGGTCCAGTAGTGATGAGAGTAAGATTGGGAGTTTGAAATCTCCTATGACTCCTTCACCTTTAACACCCTCCCCACAGGATTTAGAATGGGATGAAGACATAGGGAATGTTGCACCAACTACAAGTGAAGATGAATCCTGGACTTCTATGTACAAGTTAGTATAAATACTTCATTTATGTTTTGTATGGTTTCCACTATGTTCTAGTCATTTTGACTACCATTTACATTTTATAATCCAGATGGTATGCTGCTATACTGGAGTCTACAGGGGCAGCTATTGCTTCAGCCTCAGCTATGTTCACTGCTGGAATTGATCAGCATGATGCATTTATGCATACCCCACTACATTATGCTGCAGAACAGGGTCATGTTTCTGTAGTCAAATTGTTGATTGAAGCAGGTAAACATTTGTACTATCAAAGAAAACATCTTATGAATTTTTCAACTGAAATATTTTTGAATTAAGAACTAGTTTTTCGTTTTGCTGAAATTCATTGCTATACTCGGAATTTTAATTCGATTCCAGATTTGACAATTTCAGTGTTGCAACATTATGACAAGTACTAAATAGTGACATTGCGAAATTATTTGATATGGAAATGCAATATTTCTGGATCGATTCTTCTCGTTTATAATTTTACTCTCGTAAACTAAGTATATCAGGAAATCAAATATTTCTGAACCGATAATTTAGTGTTGATGATTAATTAACAATCTGAGACTTTTCTTTCATAATTGTGTGTGAAATAAATAAAAAAATGTAATCATGAAGTAACATGACAAATAAAACAGACAAATGTATTATGGTAATAAGTTATTTTATAAATTGTCGCCGTCATCGCTATCGATATCCTGTCACTTTCTGTAACATTTATTATAAAACACACACACTGATTGTTTATCGATTTTTGTGTGCATCACTACACTAATGTATGTGGTATCATTATTTCACAAAATGACAGTAGCTATTGTCAAATCTGGAATCTAATTAAACTGTCAAACACCAAGCGGTCACCGGTGACCGCAACCTATTGTTCTATAATTGTGTCTACAAAACCGGTACTCGATGAGTTAAAATTCTGACTATAAATACTTATTTTTACAGGGTGTAAAATAGATGCTGAAACTGGAGATGGTGTGACAGCTTTACATGTTGCAGTTATCAAAAATTATGTTGATATTGTGAAGATACTTATAAATTCTGGGAGCAATGTTAACCACAAAACCTATGATAGTATGACACCTTTGCATTTTGCAGCATCAAGAGGTTTCTTAGATTTGGTAAAGTAACATTTGTTTTAATGTTAGTTGCAAGTTAGGTACTTTATGAAGGATGATTGAAGGTATTAATGAAAATAATATTTTTTAGGTAAAAATTCTAGTCAGTAATGGTGCAAGTTTAGAAGCAAGAGATTCAAACGAGAGGACAGCACTGTACATAGCATCTGGTCGTGGGCATATGGATTTGATGAAATATCTGATTGATGCTGGTGCTAATGTAAACAGTGAAGAGATCCATGGTAAAACTAAATTTGAATTGTGTAAACTGATTATGATGTTAATGTGTCTGCACATACAATATTTGCAGAATAAACCACATTGTTATAATTGTGTGTAATGTTTATTTTAGGATATACGCCTCTTTGTGAAGCTGTATGGCAAAAGTATGCTGTGGGTGTAGAACTTTTACTGTTATCTGGTGCTAGAATTACTCACTCTCATAGGCTTTTACATAATGCAATAATTCAAAGACAGGTGAGCTACTCATGATTTGACTATTTAAAATTGTTAATATGTTGCTAATGGATACTATTGACACTGCAATAATAAATACTTTGTTTTCATTGCCAAGCAATATTTCGAAGAAATGTAAGAACTGATTTATCAAACATTTGTTTTTAGATGGAAATAGTAAAAATGCTTACAGCTTACGGTGCCGGGATAAACTTGTATAACGACAATGGTGATACGCCACTGCTTTTGGCGGTACGACTATCACAGCCCGCAATCGCTAAAATATTATTATGTAAAGGTATGTTATTGCAATCTGTGAAAAAGTATTTTTTGTCTGTTGTGGCTATAAAATGTGCTGGTACAAAAATAATAGTTCTAAATGGTGATGGATGATCTTTATGTAATATATTTATTTATGTTACAGGTGCGAACGCTAATTTGTTAAACAGTATAACAGGTGCTAATGCATTGCACATAGCTGTTGAAAGTGTAGACTCCCCTGAAGATTTTGAAGAATTGTTGAAATGTTTAATAGACTACAAGATTGATTTGAATGCATCAGCTTTAACTGGCGACACTGCTTTAAACAGGGCTCTGTTATTACACAAGTAAGTTTCAGGATATTTTATTATATAATTTAAAGTTTCTTAAAGATAATGTAGCTGAAAATTTGTTACTTGTGGCATTGTTATTATTTGTCTAATTTAGGTCACTTCTATAGCTAAAAGATTTCAAACTTTTGGTTTCAGAGATCCTGCAGCAGTTCTCCTTATTCGATATGGCGCAGACGTGAATGCGTGTGATCTACATGCTTGTGGTCTAGACAATTTATCCATAGCAAGTAGAAGAAGGTCGAATAGCTTAGCATTAATGTTATTGAAGGCAGGCCATTATATCGTGATCCCAGATAAAGATACATCAATACCGGCATCAGATTATACAAAATGTTGGTTATATAATGTTTGTAGAGATCCACTTACTCTTTCCGATCTCTGTAGGATTAGAATTAGATACTTAGGTCAAAGTACATCCATAACATTGTACCGCTTCATATCTTCCCTGCCTCTTCCAAAGAGTTTAAAAAGATACCTTATGATGGAAGATGAAGGCACGGAATACTTTGATTTTACTGCTTAAATTATTTATTACTACACATACCATATCACCAGCAGTTAACTTGTTTATGACATGGCGGAAAGTTTTAATTGGTTTGTGTGTCCAATATAAAATGAGTTAAAAATTTGGGGTTGAAATCTGAGGAAAACGAATATTATCTATATGCATTTTTATTTAGTAAAATTACACAGTAGTACAAAGGTGTACTTAGGGTAAAATACAAAATATTTATTGATTAGAATATTATATACTATACTTAACGTGACACAATATGTTTGTCCATAAAATCTTCAAAATGAGTTGCAATTGTTTAAAACACCTAGTAGTAAGAGATAACACTTGTTTTTTAAAAACACACGCAATAATTATGTAGTGAATGAGCTGCAGAGTATATGTACTTGCAAACCAATCAGTAAGTACATAGTTTTAGGTAGTTTTTTTATTATTATATCATAGATTTGTTGAGTATTATGTCATGGAAATTCTGTGGGTACAACACTATTCATACTTGATCAGCAGCTCATTTCCTTTTTTAAAACTGTGAAATGTTCAAATAATGTGAATTGTTTGAAGTAAGAATCTAGTCCTAAACTAAGACATGTATTAATACAATTAGTAATAAAATAAATGATATGAATTCTGATAATTATAATACATAGAATAAGGCAACACTAAGTTGCTTTTAAGCCTACATATACACAGGGTGAGTAAATTGTAACATACCTATTCTGTTGTTAATACAATGTACATATATACGAAATTGGTGAGTTTTAATTAACTACCCACAATTATCAAAATTCCAAAATATATAAAAGTTTTGGTAAAAACGTGAGCCATCCAGATTATTATAGACTAAAAATGTTAACTTACGTGTTAGTTCACAAAAAAATGATAATAGTAACAATATTCTTTTGTGTTACCATTTATAATTACTAAAATTCATTATTTTGTCTATCATAAACATCATATTTTCAAAATTGTGATTAGTGACTAAATTATTATGGAATAAGTAGTGTTAAAATAGTTAAATATAAATACTACTTTAGACAAATACTCTTTTTAAGTGAATACCTCTAATGGCAACTTTTAACTTATTTTAATCACAATTAGATATCAAGTTCGCTACTACTAAATTTGACAAAACAAAAGTAAAAAATTGGGAATGTTAACATAAAATAAACATTTTTAAATATTAATAACAGCAAAAGATAAAGCACATTTAAAAAGATACCTAATATACATACAATAACATTCTATTTAGGCAAATTTAATAATGCAAATAAATCTAAGGATAAATTAATTCCAATATTGTAACAATAAACACTTCACTAGAAATATAATCTAGTATTAGGTGTATAATGATTAATATGTTTAAGCCATTTTTCGTAAATCACTCCTTAGAGCCAGACATATAATCAGATGGACAATTACCTTTAATGTCCTGCATGGTGCTCAGTTTAGGATATGTCTCCATCAAAAAATTCACTAGAGCAAAGTGCTTGTTTTCTACTGCTTTATGAAGAATGGTTTGCCCATCGGCATCTTTTTCATCAACACAAGCCCCAGAGTGAATAAGAAATTTAATTGCTTCAATTTTACCTAAAACAATTTCAAAAGTTAACTGTCCACTCCACAATAGTGTTTCAGTACAATGGACATGATCATTAACACATGGAATTGCTAATCAATATTGCTTTAGCTCTTATCTCAAATTCTATTGTGTATTGAGTTGCATTCTCCGTGATTAATTGATAAGGCATTATAGTTCACCTATAAATTATTAATTGTCAGAGACGTGATTTAAAGACTTATTGGGTATTTGAGTTTTCTATTTTCTATGTAATACAAATGAAATAATGAATGATTACCTGCAGCAGCAGCTTTGAGAAGGGGTGTAGCTTGTCCACTCTTAGTTTTTGCATCAATCAGTGCTCCATTTTGCAGTAATATCTTACAAATATCCACATGTCCTTTACGTGCAGCGTAGTGCAATGGTGTATATCCAGAGTTATCTGGTGTGTTAACTATTCCTTTGGCATTGTCTGCCTTAGCAATCAGAGATCTAACTCTCTCTTCATCCCCATAGAAGGCTGAAATAACATTATATTTGTTTAATATTGCTTAACTGTTTGGAAGTAAGTAGGCAATCTTATCAGAATATGTACAAAATGAGATAGTGCATATCATGGGATGGTAGTTATTTGATAAAAAGTACATAGTTAACTTGTACTCACTTTTTATTGGCTAAGATTTAGTAATACATCATTATAATTACCTGCATACCACAAGCCCCTCTCCCAATGCATTTCTGATAATGTTTGAGTAACCGATGCATTTGCATGAGAGCAGTTAGAGTGATCACAATTATTTCCATGGTCCATCTTTATATAATTATTTGAAAATTACTAAAAATAATGCAAAGGGCAGATATATGGAGCAAATTTATATAATGCGTTGAAGGGTCCAAGTGATCTCGGTTTCGCCAGTGCTTGAAACTACTTTGTAACCCAACTGGTTCAATGCATTCAGAGTCTCAAGTACATTGCACTTGATGGCAACACCGTTAACAACTACTCCTGATCCTGGAAACTTTTTAGAAAGAGCTCTTATCTCTTCTTCTCCTAATCCAAAAACAGAGCAATCATTTGCATGTAGAGATCCTTTAATAGCAATATAAACAACTGCATCTTCTTCAATCAAGGGTACTGACGCCAAGTTGCATGGAGACAGGTTTTGACTGCCCTTAGTGTCCATAGTACAAAATAAAAGGAACTGATCAAGATTTAAATATCAATAAGATAGCAGCTTACACTTCGTCGTCTTTTGTTTGATGTTGGTAATTCCCCAAGTGCATAGCCTCTTTGCTGAAATTGTTAATATTATCTTGTTCCACAATGATTGATGGTTCTGGTTCTGAAAACTCTTTCCTCATAGTCCACATATACTCATTATAATCTTGTTTGACTGCTGTGGAGCTAGACGCTACAACCTTGTAACCCAATACCTGTAATGTTATTGATTAATTAAACCTGTGACAATATGACTCATAACTAGGTAGGTACATGAATCAGTGAGTTGTTATGTAATTAAATAATATTAAATCATTGACTGGATAGTATTTGTAATAACAAACCTCCAGAGCACTCAAAATAACACAAGGATGTTGTAAATAAACAATAGTTGAATCGTCGCAGTAGCCCCCACATGCGAATCTCTTGAGTTGTTCTATGTCGCCAGCTGAACATAAACAGTATTTATGACTATAATAACATAAACAAACATTCATAACAAAATAAATAAAATGAGAAGAGGACTTTCGTTAAAATTTTGCCGATTATTAAGCCCACTCGTGAATACACAATTATTTGTCTCCAATTCTCATTTTACTTTTCTTAATTTGTCAACATCTACCTTTCAAGCCGGATACCAAAACACGCCACGGGTTTTTATGCCCATATGATGCTAAATTACCTCTAATCAGAATGTAGGGCATTGAGAACGGATATAATTTCACTTAGTCGTATACAGGTATAGAACAATAAATGAACAAATTATTCAGTTACTTACGGCTGAACACAAACAGAAATTGCGTTGTATTGCGCGATGCAATCCCGAATTGACAGCTTTTGGTTCAAATAAGGTTCAAGAAGAAACAGGTAAATTTATCATTACTACAGGATAGCAGTACACTTATTCCATAAGAGCAAAAAAGAGCGAGGTACCAATCGTTTCATGCTCATACTCTAAAAGTAATTGACGTGTACAATTACAGACAGTGCGCTCAGTATATTTTGACATTTTACTAAAAGGCCAAGTATTCAATTTTTGTTGGTGTATTGCCCAACACTACCCAAAATCAGTGGTGATAAACGGTACAAATGCATTGAACTTTCTAGTTTTGGGAACGGAAATAAATCATGTAAATAAGGAAAGAATATTATTTTATTCCCAGAACTATCAAAACACGTAGGTACCTATTCAGGTAGGGTAAGGTATAGGTAGGGACATGGTAGGGACCTATTCAGTATGGAGATGATTACATTGTGTTTGTTTGATCCAATTTTAGACAGCTTGATATCTCGTTCGGTCCATACCTTAATTAAAATGAGAAATTTGAAGAATTCTATGAGTGATGAATATGTGTTTACTCTTATTATAACTTTCGTCATACGTAGGTTCTGTTTGAGGAACTCGACTAGTTTCAAGACATGCTAGAGGCTTATATTCATGAGTAGCATTTCGCGATACACGACGCGGCGATTGTCGCGCCGTTATTCGACGTCGAGTTCTTCATCAAACAGTATTTCTTGTTTTTTTTGTCAACGCTCGATACGAGATGTCGCTACTTGAAGATTTGATTATGTGCCTGACTGCTACTTCTACTACCTACGCTATGGTGTAGTCAACTGCTACGACAATGAGAATTATCATCTTTATTCCTTTGTTCCTCTTTAAGTGAAGAAGTGAAGTTCTGTTTGTCCGATTTGAATTGTATTAATTTTAATGGGTTGAGTTTGAGTTTGTTTCGGCATTTCTTCTCAGAGTAGTCAGTTAGGAAATGTCGACCTCATCGTTCGCTTGATAAAATTGACGTGTAAAAGTGCTGCCTTGTAGCCTATTTGCAGAAATAAATTCACTTGTTTCACTGGTTTCACAATGACGTGACTAATTGGTTTCTTACGAAAGGGTAGGTAAGTCGTATTATACAAGGCAAAAACTTATTTAATTTAGTTTATTAGCTTATGAAAAGTATCTTCCTATGCTTTTATATTTTAGCACATACATAACATCACGCCTTTTATCCCCGAAGGGGTAGGCAGAGGTGCACATTATGCCACTGTACAATGTAACACCCACTTTTCACTATTTATGTTATGAATCCCATGTAATAGGGGGTGAACCTATTGCCATATACCGAGCACAATTCCAGACTCCGTGCTACTACTGAGATTTTTTATATAGATATATACATATTTTAGTAATAGGTATATATCTTTTATATTTTAGTAATATACTATCTAGAACATACCCTGTCTCACATTTTCGTCTAAAGTAGTTTGACATTTATAAAGATACAACACATTGAATAGGAACACGTGATTGATTTTAGTAATAATATCTCTTAAAATTAGTACTTATCACTTTAAAAGCGGGTAGGTATCTGTTATAAACATCGTAGCTTTTTGTAATAGATTATGTAGATAAATAGACATTTCCTAAATAAAAAATATCTCCAACATTTCATGTTATCACGTCGCAGCTGCGCGCAGGTACGAACAATGTTTTATACAAAACAGTTAATTGTAAATATTGTCACGAAGTTCCCAAACTGTTGTTCGGTTCTTTGAAGACGAGACATTGAGTGTTATTTCATATACTGCTGTAAACAAGAGTCGAGTCAAGGTAAAGTAGGCAACAATGTTGATATAGGCAATAGGTCCCTGTATGAGATAAAAAATATCACACGGATGAAACGAAGCTATCCAAATGAGTATTTTTTACATAATTTGAAATTCTTATAATTGATCCCAATAAGTAAGTATCTAGGTAAGTACTTAAATGCCTCTTAACTTGTAGAAAATCTCCAAGGTCTTAGTTTCTGTTGAGTCTTCAGTTTTAGCCTTAAATAAAGTCAGAAAGATTTTAGATTAAACCTTAGAGAGAGATTTATAAATTATCGTACTTATCATCATACTAATATTTAAATGAATATAGATTAACGAAAATGTATGCTAGGCTGCCCCATAGCGCCTGTAAAACACTTTTTTAAAGGTAGGTACGAAGTTTCGTTTACTTGTTGTCGTATATTTTCTACTTCATGTACCTACCGAAGTAGAGCGTTTACGCTTGAGCGACATTAAATAAACCACACCCAACCTTGTACTATCTATCCTAAGCAGAAGAATCCTGTCGGAATGGTTACCGTATATTTTGAGAAGCAAGTATTTGGAAGGATCTTTGGAAACTTCTTTAGTTTTACGCGTAGTTTTCGTAGGTATTGTGTGTTCTTTGAAATGAGAAATGTGTACCTATTTTCTAGCTACATCGCGGAGAACCTAACGGGTTACCGGGGCTCCGGCTCGACGTGCAGGAGAAGGAATGGGGTGGTTTTTAGTCAGTAAGAGTCTGACACTCCCTCCCGCCTCACCCAGGCGGGAGCAGTTATTCGATGACTTCCCCCCTTAAAAAAAAACAATTCTAGCTACCTATATATATATGTTATCTTTCGGCATATAAATGTACATATTACATATTACCTAAGCATAGACCTAGATATTTAATTTTATCTTCGTGAAACCTCTGCCGGCTGTCATTTACTCGCTAAGGGTAAGATGATATCCGTAGCTTCTGTTTCTCTAAATGAATGTCAGACATATTTATGTGACAAGACAGTTTTGGTTGCTTTCTGTGACACGGAAGAGTCTTATATTGCGACTTATTACAGGTTGTCTGAGCTTGTCTTTACAATACATAGGTACTTATATGTATGTAAGTAAATGCATGCTACTAAATGTAAACTAAGTTAAAAAGTAGGTATGTATACAATAAGTTTAATCTACCCTTAAGAATGGCTCAAAATTTTGACGCTGTCAGTAGGTTTAACGCATTAATATTTGGATAAAAACGTGAGCAAAACTCAACAATATTAACCCTTAAATCATTGTTTATTATGGTACCTAACACCGACACGTAACGTAACCTTGCGTTGCGTAGGTTTTGAGAATGATTTATTCATCATATTACTTTCGAATGTCTCATGTCATCCACACTAGGTGAGAGTAAATAAAGTGCTTAGAAATACCTGATATCTACTTTATATCTGCGTAAAGATTTTTTCAGGATTTTTAAGTAGGTACACCAGTAGGTAGAAGGTTGGCTTGTAGATAATAACGCCCAAATGGCAATTGCAAATTACCAACAGTATGATAGTATATTCTCATATGGCACGGAAAAAAATAGTATAATTTGCAGATCGGTCTAGTACCCGGCTTTTATGTAGAATCTGAGTGTAAAATCAATAAGCAAATAAAATCTATTAGAGGTACTTTCAAAATAGCAGTTAGCCATGAAAATCTGCCGCTGTTGGCAGCTGAAGTATAGTGAGGTGCATGTTAATGATTTGAAGTCGAAGTGAAATGAAACAAAGCGTCGAGGCGGCGTTTTACTCGTCTCAACCCTCAAACAGCACACGTGAGAGCTAAGAGCCAGAAACGTTTGGAGTCACAGTGAGCTTTTATTGTAATTGCGCGCTAAAAGTACGTATTTCAGAGCTCTAATAGGGCTGAAAACATGTGATAGGTACGTAAGTTTACTTGTGTAAAGACCAGGATAATTTTGGTACCTACTTATTAAAGTATGTAGGTAGGTGTGTTAGAAGACCTGCATGGCTGGAAACTTGGTCAAGTCCGGAAATTAGATGTCAGATATTGTAGAGAACTTTGCTTACCTATGTATTCGTGTGGTTGTGGTTTAGGAAGTTTCCAATATAGCTCACCCTGAAACATTTTTCCTGTGAGTATCTTAGTCCTTGGAATTATTTTTAAACAAAAAATGGCTTCAAGTTTATTGTGGGATATCTTAAGTAATATGGTAAGCTAAGTACATAGTTACTTCGTTACTTACTATTTTTCCTTACCTATCTATCTATAAATTATATATAAACATAATTTCTATTAGGTATGATCAAGAAATACTTACTGGCTCACAATCGAGTTTGTTATTGTTGATGTCTGGTATATTATTTTAAGACATTAGACGCGTATTTTTTTTCTCACAAAATTGAATACTTTCAACGATATATTGATTTGAAATATCGTATGATGTCACGATTTACTACATTTTATAGGGTAGCGTGAATTAACGACTCCTAAACTTAACTCTGTTTTATAGAAGTATTGTTTTCTTATACGACAAAATAAAAAAAATAGGTTTCTAATATTTTTTAATTATCTAACTGACGGACTGATATGGTAGATAAGTAATTTTTATTTTAGTGTCCGTCTTGTACCTAGATTTATTCTATGTCTTATATTTCTTATTCTTATACGCCAAATAAAAAAAATACTTGTCTAATATTTCTTCATTATCTAACCGATGGGCTGATTCGATTTTCAATTTTCATATCCTGTCATCATCCCTATTATAGGTATATTTAACTTTCGTACACTGTCTACTACCCTATGTGCAACTACACGAGCTTCACAGGTTTCGAGGTAAACATAAATAAACAAAAACATGTGAAACAAGTGAAACAAGTGATCAAGTATCTACTTACTTTAGATTAATTGTAGCGTGTTAACGGAAATATGGCGTAAATCCCTTCATCAAATCAACGTGTCTTCGCGTCGGATATCTGGGTCAACAGGACACTTTTCAACTTTGAGATTCCACCTGTGATTCAAGCCATTTTGTAAAGACAAGGACAGTTGTTAGTCTAGTCCGTCTGTTGTATTACTGATGACCTACCTACATAATTACAAAGGGTAGGTTGGTACAGGTAAAGATACATTTTCTTTATTAGTCCTGTCAATATCGTTATCATAGCGGCTACAAGACGTCCTGTGCTTAATTAATACCTGCTTTCAAATAGAAATATTAGGCAAAAATGAAAAATGGTTATAGTTTCTATGTCTATCGATTCAAGGTTTTATTATTATGGAGTTTTTTATTAGATACCTATTAAGTAAAAACGCGGGTTACTCACGTGAATATAGTGAGAAAAGCTTTACTAGTTTCGAACCACA